TGCCAAATAAGCGTTATGAGCTTTCCCATTAATTTTTAAACCAACGACCTATGTTCTCCTCCTTTGGCAAACACTAGTGAACCCACAACAAACATGTTTATTGGGACATGGTGTTATATTATAGCCACGACAAATCCTATATGTAGTGTGAAAAGTTATAGTCAGTCAGTGGCCTTGTTGTCTTTTGTCATTCAGTGAAATTTGTCATTTGTCAGTCAGTCAGCTATGGTTCCACTACCATGTTTTTTTTTCGTTAAGAACCAATATATTTTGGCACCAGCCCTGCCCGTGAGCACTGTCCAGCATGGAAGTGTTTTGCTTGTAAATGATACTTTAAACATGATGTACTTCAATGATAAACCAACTCACAGTAGCTGGAAATAACATTCCTTTTACCAAGAGAGCCAGAAAATGGAACATTTCATTTAAAAGCTTTATTTCAATCAGAGGCCTACAATCACAAAGTCACATAGCAACAGCACACAAGCAGCTGGGCTCCAGGGTGAAACTATGGATGGTCTGTTGGCTCAAACTAGGAAAATATGATTAAATTATTGTGTAACTTTGACACCATTTATAGATATGTGTGTGTGTGTGCGTACTAATGTGTTCTTTATCTCCTGCAGTGCTGGTGTGGGTCGTACCGGAGTATTTATCACTCTGAGCATCGTTCTGGAGCGGATGAGATATGAGGGAGTGGTGGATCTGTTCCAGACGGTCAAAACACTCCGCACTCAGAGACCCGCCATGGTCCAAACAGAGGTGAGAGAGACTTAAACTTCATGGCTTATAATTAACTACTACAGTGTTCTGTACAAGAGTGAGAGTGAGGAGTTAGTGACATCATTCTCATTATGAAGTCATTGCAAGGTCAAATTTACATATATGCAGCATTTTTAGCATTTTTTCATATACATATATATATATATAATATATATATATATATATATATATATATATATATATTTTGCTGTCTTTGCCGTTCTTTTTTCCCAAAATCTATATCTGTACTTTATCTCTTTTTTTATCTGATGTGTGAATGTTAAGCCTTTGAAAATTAACATTTAAGTAGCCATTACATTTGTAATATATGCCTCTCTCATCATGTCCTAGAAGTACAAGTTCATGGAGGAGTGCATCTCTCCTGTTCTGTAATAATTTTCATCCTTTGGATGCCAAATGAATCTGGGCTCTGTGTAGGGGACGTCAAGAGAGGAGAAAATGAACTGAAGTTACATGAAATTTTCACAATGTAAAGCCAACCTTAGAGTTTATGTTAAAGGCCCATGATGACATTTTTCTTCCTGGTTCAACACAAGGGTCCCGTCAACAAAGGCTTAGTTTTGGATTATTTTGCAATTGGGCTTGTTGTGCCTTACAAAAAGCCTGAAAAATTGCAAAAATGATGAGCAAGAATGCATTTCTGTTGTTAAATATGTCAGACCAAAATGTTGTGTGTGTTGTGTGTGTTTCCAGGACCAATACCAGCTGTGTTACAGGGCGGCTCTGGAGTACCTGGGCAGCTTTGATCACTATGCAACGTAACCGCTCACGGAAATCTCCGGAAAGCCCTGGAACGCCCCCTCAGGAGAGCAGCCAGTTCTTTCTGAGCCAAAACCAACCCCACTGAATCAGTACGCAGGCTGTGGGAGAGAGAGAGAGAGAGAGAGAGATGAAGAGGACGAGGGAGAGAAGAGTATAGAAAGTAAAGAAAGTAAAGGAGAGTCACAGTTGAAAGGAGCGACTTCACACTGTCGTCCAAACCTGGGTCCATCCCTTTTCCAGAAAGCATCCAAAAAACAAGAAACATGCCGTTCTGGTATCTATATTACTGTACAACATCTCCTGTCTCTGTAATCCTGCTGAGAATGCAAAGTACCTTACTGATTTTTTATGACTACCATTTTTATTGCCATCTCCATATTAATCATTATCATCACCATTATTATTATTATTCTGATTAATAATATTATTATTGTTATTACAATACAATACAGTTGTACCTACAACACAAGTATGTTATTTTTGTCATTTATGCTGGTTATTTCATCTATTTTATCTGTATGGGGTCTGTTTTTATTTTTTTTTTTCACATAATGTTATTCATTTATGATTTTATTATTATATGGTCTTTTATGTTTAGCACAGGGGCATGTATTTTAACATGACCCAGATAACTCATATTAGAGGACTCATACTCTGAGCTGCTGATCATTTCTTACTTTTTATTATCATTATTATGCTATTTTTATCGATCTGCTCTTATTCAGTGGGAGAGGGCGAAGATCTTTAGGACCTTTTCAGCTCCTGATACTTTACTGAACAATTATCTATGTTAAAAAATAGATCAAATGGCATAATGCCACAGTTAGAGGACCACCTGAGAAAAATGCCATGTACAGACTCTGGCTCTGATTTAAAAGAAAAAAATAGCTGTAAACTGTGATTTTTCTGGTATCTTTTCACTCAAAAAGGGTCTCTCAGTGAAAATCAATGGCATGTGTGCTGTCCAAGCAAAGCCTTTGTTTTCCCAAGCCAAAGGTCAACTTGTGCTGACAGCCACTCAGAAAAGAAAGGTTAGACTGTGGTCAAAGAAGCGGCTTAGACAAAGTCGATTACTCATTGGCGACGTCTATAATGGGGATAAAAATACAACAGTTTGTTTACTTATAAGGGAAAGCACTCTGTAATGCTCTGTAATGTTTATGTGATCCACATGGTCATTCTGACAGATTGCAATACGCTACAGGAAGTGTAGGGGGCGATATGGCATATATTGTTTCGTTGAACCATAAAAGAAGAAATTGCTCATCACATAGATGGAACTTGGAATGATGGCGCAATGATAAAATTAGTCGATTAATTGAATATTAAGCAATAGATTAATTGATTTGAGAAACAGTAAAAGCCCCAGAATCATTACAAAATGTCCAAAATAGCTGCCAACCACAGTGTCTGGGCGAAACGTGTATTCTGGCCCATTATCCTGACTGGAGTTAGAAATCCCCAGCCCAAACTCTGTATGCGTGGTACGATACCATAACTGCCATACGATCATATCTCACTGTGGCTCAGAAAGATGGACTACAATAACATAAAAAGAAGCAACACTGGACGGAGAATTTCTGCTCAACTCAAGTGTTTCCTTCTCCCCAACGGCCTGAGCGCAAAGTGAGGTGGATTGGAACATGCGGGACCAGGCAGATGATTCATTTCACTTTGTGTTCGGAGCGAGATGTAAGAGGGTTCAATCTGTTGTACATGCAGTCTGTTTTCTATTTGTTAATAAAATAATAAAAAAGCAAAGAGAAAATATGTTCCAAAAACCTTGATGTTAATAAAGTTGAATAATTGGGTTTTGTATATTGCTGTGGTGGCTTCTCTGTCACTGTGAGGCTGGATGGCACATTCGCACACACACCAGGGTGGCTACCCATTCAGGATTTCCCTGAACTGTACTTTTGGTTTTTGGTTGCCTGTCCAGGAAAAAAATATTTCCATTCTTGAACACAAAAAGCACTGGAATCCAGACATTTTCATATGTTAATATGTCCTATGAAGTTTAAACAGCTTCTTTTTATCCAACCGAACCATTTGTATAAAAAGAATGAGTTTGATTTGTTCAGATTACCCTCAACTTAGGAACAGTTCTTTGGGAAAGGTGCACTGCTGCTGACAATAGGCAGCACTGCATCAGATTCTGTAGCTACAATCTTCCTTACACAGCATTGTGAGCGTAGCTACCTATCTCCTGAATTTAGTAAAAAATTAAGCCACAAATCAAGTGTCCAGGAATTTTACAGGGCTGATGTGGCAACCCTAATGCACACGCTGACTGTGGCCTGACCAATCTCAGTTATAAGGACCTAAATTTCTGATAGCTGATAACATCGTCAGAAATTTAGGTCCTTATAACTGAGATTGGTCAGGCCACAGTCAGAAATTACACACACTCCCATAGTCTTAGTTAACAGTGCTGTGCTAAGTGTTACGATTGTCAGTGGTCAGATATCAGTTCGCAGTTGTCAGATCAGCAAAAACTTTAGAGTAGGGACAGAACTTCCCAGAATTCTTAGTGGGTGTTTTCTTACAGAGTTGTCTGTTTGCTACAATATACACTATACAGTCATATGCAAAGGTTAGGGTGCCACTGCACTTTTAATGCACAATTACTGTTTATTTGCTGAATTTACATATTGAAAAAAAAACAAAACATAAAATGTGGCTTGTGCAAAGGTTTTAGTTTTTTGTTTTTTCATAAAACGAATAGAAATAGTGCACCAAAATGTGCAGATGTCATGTTTGTGTGTTCTCTGTTGAGAATGTGTTAACTTAATTTCACTTAGCAAAATCAACAAACATGGAATTGACTACAGGTGTTCAACTTTTGCATACAACAGTATGTTCCAAAGTGTCAAGACACCCCTTCTATTTAGTGGATTCATCTACTTTAGGTGTTCAGTTGCATACTAATAGAATTGCTAATAGAATGGGAAGCTCTGGGGCAGTCACACATGAGCCTGATGTCACCATGCCCAATGCCAAGTGTTGGCTAGAGGGGTGTAAACCCTCCCAACACTGGGCTGTTTAGCAGTGTGTTCTCGGGAATGACTGAGCTCCATCAGATACCTTTGGGATGAGTTGAATAAGTTGGCATTTATGATCCACAACTTATCATCCAACATCAGTATCACTAATGTTCTTTTGGCTGAATGTAATCAAATACTTACAGCGATGTTTCAACATCTAGTGTGAAGTCTTTCCAGAAGAGTAGAAGCTGTTACTGCATACAACTGTATATAACAAAATACTAAATTGGCATTTTAACAACGTAACTTTTTCCAATACAGATAGATCTGCAACTTCTCAATCTCTAATGTTATTGATATCTCTAACAGGACTAGTGCACCAACCCAACCGATGTATTGGCTGGCCCTTAACACTGACCCCTTAAATGCACACACACACAAACCTTTCCCAGTGTACCAGGGAACAGATGGCAAGTGCCCCTCAAGCGTCTGTGTCCTTGCCAGTCCTCTGCTGCTTCTTCGCCAAGGCCAGCCAGCACACAGGCTGTGTGTGTGTAGCCTCCCCGATGGCACTCTGCTGACCGGGATACTCCACCTGGACAATTTAGTCCTGTTTAGATTACCTCAGATCAGGGCAAAGGTACAAATTGTAGCAACCATGCGAAAAAGGAATAATTACGTTAATTAGAAACGGTTTGTCCTTTCGGTGTAAAGGTCAAAGCTGCCGCATGGCTCTGTAAATTGTAATTACGGAATAATAGGATTCAGTGTAATTTTTTACTGCCTCGAACTTTGAAAGGAAATTAGCCGCAGTCTCCTACAGCTGGTGCAAACATGGGCTTACAAATCTGTGTCTATTTTAGCTTTAATTAGAGTCATTTGGAGGGAAGGTGGAAGATCATAAAAGAGCACTCAGATAATTTCCTGTAAACATACATTACAGATTCATTTGCCCATAAAAGGCTATGAGTGCAATGAATCACGCTTATTATGATTGGGGACATCAACTAACATGAGTTTTCATATCAGTTTGACTCTAACAGGACAATTACAATAATACTCATTTAAGTATTTAAAATACTTTAATGAATACTATTCTTACTGCCAATAACGGCCAACAGTTTATTCCACTGTTAGTAGTTACCGGTGAAGGTAACTCTGAAAGGTATGAAGTATCCAGCCCACAACCAGCCTCATCTTTACATGTCATGTTCAAACTCAAATGTTCCCATCATGTTTTTAAGTGTGCTGCAGATTCTTAGCTAATTAGCGAACTAAAGTTAAGTGTATACAGCAGAGATCCTCCATTTGCAACTCTTCTGATCAGTCATCACTTGAACTGGCTGCCTCTGGCTCGGCCGGATGACGTGACGTGTAGATGCCCCGCCCACATACATACGCCTGCCTTGTCCTGTGGACACGCCCACTATTCCAGCCCCAGCTATATTCAGAGAAGTTGTAGAACTCATAACCCGGCTCTGCTGTATTTCCCTGGCCGGCTGAATTCCCCTGGCCACGCCCACCACGTCAAGAAAATGCCAGAAAATAAAACACAAAAAAGAGTCAACGAAGAAAAAACGTTAAAGGCAAAAAAAAAATAAGTATAATAAAAGAATCGTTGAAAAATGTGCTGCAAATAGAAAACAAAACGTAGCTTTTGTTAGCAGTATCTTTATATTTTTGTAATTCATTTTATATTTTTTTTTTGTGGCATCGTCTCCATAGGTCAGAAGTTTCTTTGTCTGTTTGTTAACCCAGCAGAGCTGGATTTGAGAAAATAAAAAATACACAAATATAGCATTAGCATTATTATGCTGTTATTATATTGTTACTATTAATATTGCATTATTATTATTATTATTATTAGTAGTAGTAGTAGTAGTAGTAGTAGTAGTATTTTTAATATTATTATTATCATTATTTTGACAGCGGGGAACGCCTTCTTCCATCTTTGTAAACAGTTTCACTGCGCCTGCGTGTTCGTGTGTCACAATAATGGAGGATCTTTTCTCCCCGCGCTGAAACCCGCATTAAGCGCCGCGTTTCTCTGCACAGTTCGAAGAAAATCCGCCTGCAAATAAACATCAGAAATCCGTAAGACTTTATTCATCTTTTCTCCTTTACCAAGAATTTAAGTTTCGCCACCACAGCGAAGCTGTTTATGAAACTGAGGCGCTGCACTGTTGTGCTAACGGGCTAACCATCGCAAAACGTCAAATTTAGAAAAAAAGAAGCAGAAACTTGGTGTCTTCAAAATAATTACAAGTTATTTACCCATTCTTCATTAAGTCTTATAACAAGAAATCGTGTTCATGGATTTTAATTTACGATTTTACACTTAATCAGTTCACAGAAGTCAAAGTTTGTTGTTGTTGAAATCAGCCTGCTAACCATGATGTGTTTATCCGGGACTGTAATCTGATTGGTACCTGCTTTGACGGACATGAATTTCCTCCAGTCAGAAGCGCAGATCTGAGCGCTGCCTGGCGTCCGGACCAATCAGATTAATAGGACGGAGCTTATTCAGACACCTACGTTAGCATGCTAACGTCAAGTTAGCTTCCTCGCTCTGTAGTAGCTAAGTTAATACTTAACTCAGCTGTTTTAGTTCCAGCTGCTTCATTTAACAGTATAATCGGCACATTATATCATACATATGCTTTTATACAGAATAAACTCAATGGTTTTATTGTTTATTCAAAATATTTGTTTTAGCTAGCGAATTGGGACCCTCAGCACTAACATGACCTGCGCTAAAATCGCTTAGACTGCACGTTTATACCCTACTAACATCGTCATGTCCTTATTATTGTGCGTTTTGAATTTCCTGTATTACTGATTTTGTTAGATGTTAAAGTGTCTTAAGACTTCTGTGTTTTTTGCTGGAGTAGGATTTAATTCTTCAAGATAGACTCGACTTTTCAATGTAGTTGCATTTTTATTTCCTTATTCATCCTGCTGTTGTTTTCAGGATAGTCACTGTTGTCTGCACAGCGTGAAAGTATGATTCTGTTTAATCAATGGTTTATCAGTATTGAATGCACACATATATATGGTGAATTTATTTTGTGTGTGACTTCTAATGTTCTGTGTACACTGGTTCTGTGTACCATGGAATACAGCCTAAAAAAGGTCTGTGTTTATTGCTGCACTGTTTAAAATCTTTCATCTCTACCTCTTTTGTGCTTGCAGTCCCAGTAGCAGAAATGGCCTCAGACTCAGTAGCCCAAAATCCTGTTTTCAGGATCATGACCTTCCATCCAACCAAGGAGGAGTTCAAAAATTTCAGCCGATACATCGCATATATGGAGTCACAGGGGGCTCACAGAGCAGGGATGGCAAAGGTTAGTATTGCTCCAAGCTGTGGAGACACCAAGTTCACTTCTCTTAAAAGAGGTTTGCATAGGCATGATACTGTACCTGTGACCTAAGACCTGACATGACCAGGCTCGAATTGTACTGCTAAATATGAAACCCAAACTTGGCCCAAACCCACTTGCGCTGCTGTGGAACAGCTGCTTCCATGGTCAATATGTCATGGAAGGGACGACATTCCAGGTCTCCTGCTATCGTAGCTGAAAATACTATCACAAGCTCTACATTGTACATGACCAGTGTGCTTTTTATCTGATATATCGACCAGGTCATAATGTTTCCTCATTGTAACAGTGTAAAAGTTTAGGCCTTTATCTTTGGTTATTTCTTACATATAGAGGCTATAAAAAGTGGGCTTTTGTATGAATGCTAAGAAAAAAAAACTGTTTCTTTTGATTAGCATGAAGTGTCCAGGGATTAGTCTTCGGTTTATGTTGTGTTTAACTACCAAATACAGAAGATACAGAGACAATTACTTCTTGCTGAAAATTTGAAAAAAATGGCCATATAGACATTATTTCCTGAAAGTATAAAATAAATTTGATGGTCAGTCAGGAACACTTTCTGAAAGATGCTTTGAGTTGCATTTACCAGTATGTGTCTATGTGTCTTAAAAGGACTGCATTGTTTGAGAAATTAGTTTATGATCAGTGTCTTATTTCTGGCACAGATCATACCTCCGAAAGACTGGATGGCCCGTCGTACATACGATGACATCGATGACCTGGTTATTCCTGCTCCGATTCAGCAGGTGGTGACAGGTCAGTCTGGGCTTTTCACACAGTACAACATCCAGAAGAAGCCCATGAGCGTCCGCGAGTTCCGCAAAGTCTCTAACACAGACAAGTGAGTATTCAGAAATATCAGAAAAAGTAGAGCGTGATCATTCTGTCAGTTCTGTGATGGTTCTAAGAAGAGTGCCAGTATGGTTTATTTTTTTGTGAAGAAAAGTGAGTGTCTCAGAAATTTCACTATAACACATTATTCATTATTCATCAAGTGTACTATCATCGTTCACCCTTCCAATTCTCTGTAACCAAATTTTTTTCCCTAATCAGCTGTTCAATGATTCTTCCTTTGCAGGTTTTGCAACCCCAGATATGTGGACTTTGATGAGCTGGAGAGAAAGTATTGGAAAAATCTTACCTTGAATCCTCCACTGTATGGGGCAGATGTCAGTGGAACACTCTATGATCCAGTAAGCCACTAAACATGTCACTCTTAGTAACTCATCTCTGCTAGTCATAACCACATAATAACTTTGTTATTAAGCACATAATAACTCTCTTTTTAAAGCTACATCATGTCTGATTTTTTTGTTAAAATAGAAAGAAACAGTAGTACTGACTCAGGAGAAAATAAACACAAATAAAATATGGTGGGTGTGTGCTGCTGCGAGTCACTGTGTAAAGCCTAAAATTACACATTTACAAAATTCAAAATTTCCACCAGAGAGGTCTTCAAATCCCCAAATCAACTAAACCTACACAGAGCTGCTTTAACAATTAATGACCCAATCTCGTTATACAGTCATACAGTGAAACTGACAAGTTGGGATGCAAAGTAATGCTGAAATCATTGCAGTATAAGATAATTGCTTAAAAATGATCAGCATCACGCAATGTTTAGATTTTACTGATATTTTAACCCGTCATTTTTTGTATTCTGTAAGAGCAGAATGTTTAGGTGATGCACCACAATATCTGCATTTCATTTATTTAATTAATTGTTTGTAAGCTTAAAGAAATATATATATTCCTCTGTAGTGCCGATGTCAATTTAGTTCCAATTAGTTTTGTAACGGCATCAGCAGATATGTGCATGAAAAATATCAGATATTGGCATCAGCACGCAATTCCCATGTTGGCACATCCCAACTGACATGGTAGTGACATGGTAGTTTGCGTGTGGTGCTGGTATGAATGCATTAGGCACAGCAGTGCTAATGGAGTTTTTACACACGTCGCTGCTAGGTTGAGAGTGGTTCACCACCCAAAAATATCCAGCCAAGAGCAGCTCTGTGGTCAGAAACTGACCATTGATGAATGATTAGAGGATGGCAAACCTTATGCATCATCAAAAGGGCATACAGTCTCTAACTGTACACCAGCAAGGTGGAGCTACAAGGGAGGGGTTTCTGATAAAGTGGACAGTGAGTGTATGCGCATGATAACATATGTATCACATTACGTTTCTGTATAGGATGTGACTGAATGGAACATCGGGCGGTTAAACACCATTCTAGACACTGTGGAGAGAGAGAGTGGGGTGAAGAATAAAGGTGTAAACACACCTTGTCTGTACTTTGGAATGTGGAAGAGCACATTTGCTTGGCACACGGAGGACATGGACCTCTACAGCATCAACTACCTACACTTCGGAGAACCCAAATCCTGGTACTACCACAACTGTATTATTCAAAAGCTTTTTAAACATTGTGTTTAAATGGCCAAACAACTATAGTTAACCGCAATCTTCTGTGTAGGTATATTGTGCCTCCTGAACATGGAAAGAGATTGGAGCGTGTTGCTAAAGGTAGGAATGAATCTGAATTTTTTGTAGAATGACTGATGTTTAAGAAATTTTTTATCTGACTATAGTGATGTCTGATTGTGCAGGATTTTTTCCTGGAAGTGCCCAAAGTTGTGAAGCCTTCTTACGACACAAAATGACATTGATTTCTCCATCAATTCTCAGAAAGTATGGTATCCCACTTGAAAAGGTTAGTTGACCAATGTGTGACATTCTTTACAAACTTCTTAAGTTTTCTGTTGTAGCATATGAAGTATGAAATATTTTTCAGAAAATTTCTACAGTCATTTATTATTACACCATTTGAAAATACCAGCTGTCCTTAACATTGTGTCAGCATTTCATGATGAATAGACCGAAATATATTTTAAGTGGTTTTATTTTATTTATTTTTTTTTACAGTTACAGACTTTAAGATTGTTCATTCTTTTTCCTCACCTGTTTCTCTTCTCATCCTCACCTGTTTGTCTTTTCCTCTTCAGGTCATACAGGAAGCAGGCCAATTTATTGTGACTTTCCCATACGCCTATCATGCCGGATTCAACCACGGTTTTAACTGTGCCGAATCCACCAACTTTGCCACGCAACGCTGGATCGACTATGGCAAACAGGCAGCATTAGTAAGGACTTTCATTTCAATTAATAGTATTCTAATATCACAATGAAGACATATTCTTATTGTTCTGAGCAAACAGAAGGTTTAATATTTATTTATTGCAGACAGCGTAAAAGGTGAGACGTACCTGAATTGATTTGGTAATTGACGTTGGTTGGCACCTACTAAGTGCTGGATATCAGGCTGAAGAAAAGAAAGTTGCGAACAGAGATCTGACTGAATTTGATAGGTTTAGATCAGGGGTTGGCCACATGCAGCTCCAGAGCTGCATGCGACTCTTTTACTGCCCTGTTGCGGCTTCATGGCAGAATTAGACAATTTGAATTAGAATTAGCTAGTAGCTAACGAAAAGGCAAAGAGAAAGATCTAAGATGAACATTGATAATTTGGTGACGAGTGGACTTATTTGCGTTTATAATCACTCCAGCTGGTTCCCTGCTATGTTTAATCTGCAACGAGAAACTGTCAAAAAAAAGTCAGAAATTTTTCTGTTCCACCTTAAATAGTACAGCAGTTCTGGTGTCTCAGGCGCCATTTAAGGTGGAACAGGAAAATTCAAACAAGAAGCTGGCAAACGAGAAGCTGACCTCAGCCTCGTAAAAAGTCAAACGTTAAGAGACATTTTACAAGAAAGTATTTTACTTTTGCAAAGAGGTTTTCTGCTGGAGATGTGAGAAAAGCAGCTATAGCTGAGCTAAAGCCTAAAGTAGAGCAAAGCGAGTTTGCATTTTCATTTATGTTATATTTCTTAGCCTATACTAGTACATTAGCATATACTGAGACATATTTACAGCGAAGATGGTAAAACGGACATAAAATGTTGTGGCTCCCAAGGTGGTTTAATTTTTGTTGAAATGACAATATGGCTTTTCTTAACATTTGGGTTGCCGACCCCTGGTTTAGGTGAATACTCGCTATGTTTAGTCTTCTAGTGGCTATGTAAATAGTTTGGCTTCAGAGTTTCATTTGAAAAGACCAAAGCAAGCAAAGAGCACAGAGCGGTAGTTGCTTGTCCCTGGTGCGCGCACACATGAAACCTAGTGGTAGCTACTCACTGCTGTATTTTCTTCATTTTGGTTTATGCTTGGTTTTCTCGATTTTTCACTTGTAAATGTCTAAGCCTTGAAACTTTTCCTTTTGAAAGACCCTGATTTAAATCATTTATCCATGATGGATGAATTCCGTATGATTGAAAAGTCAAACATTTTACATTAACTTGCACTGACTAACAGAAATATATATAAAAATATTTATATATAAATATCGGGTTGTGCTTGGTATAGGAAGACACTCAATATACAATGACTTTGATTGCAAACAACTTTATTTGGAGATCCCTAGTTAGCACAGTATATTATACATCTGATATATGTACTGTATGATATAGTATGACATATTTATATGTATGACCTACAATATTACACTAAATCTTACGTTGGATATTTGTACTGGAATGTACTCACAAATGTACCCGTCAGTTTGCACTACATTTTTTTTGTACTACTATGTTAATCTACTGTGCCAGCCATCTATATAGGTGCTTTTGATATTATTTACTGTTACTTGTTGCCTGCCAAACTGTGTGAAGTATTCCTCTTGCATTTTTTTTGTATTTCTTTTTTTTTGCTGCCCTCCCCACACACTTATTATCGTCTTCAGGAGTACACCACTGTAGTTTAATATTTTCATTGTATTTTGAATGCTCTGTATTCTGAATTGAATACGATAGTAAATATGATTAAGCATGATACTAACACCCAGTTGAACACTCCCAACCTTCACACTTTGCTACTTTGCTGTTTGAAATGTATGCTGAAGTTTGTTTTTCTTCTCTCCTCTCTGTGTCTCAGTGCTTGTGCCGCAAGGATATGGTGAAGATCCCCATGGATTTGTTTGTGCGAAAGTTCCAGCCGGAGCGCTATAAACTGTGGAAAGCAGGAAAGGACAATGCCCCCATCGACCACTCCAAACCCACACCAGAGGCAGCCGAATTCCTGCTGGATGGAAAAACAGAGGGAGAGAGAGGAGAGCTGAGTAACAGCAGCAGGACTGAAAGAGTGGGAGAGAAAGAGAAAGAAACAGAAAAGACAGCCGCAGAGTTAGAAGAAAAAGAGACACAAAAGGCTGAAAAAGACGGAGGAGACAAAGAAATGATGACAGATGCAGAGAGAGAAGAGAAAAAGGAAAAGGCTGATAAAGAGAGAGAAAAGAAAGAGACGAAAAAAGCTGATGCAGATAAAAAGATAGAAATGGCGGATAAAGAGACAGAAAAAGCAGAGAAAGAAAAAGCTGATGCAGAGAAAGGAGATACGCAGACTGATAAAGACATGATAGAGAAAAAGGAAGTGGGAAGAGAGAAGAGCAATGCAGAATGTGGAGAGATAGATAAGAAAGAAGAAGTAGAAGAAGAGACAGAAACAATAATGACTGAAGAGAGTAGAGAACCCGAGAAGAAAGAAGTAAAAAAAGAAGAGATAGAGTGTGAACTAATTGGAGAAACAGAGAAGATTGAAAGAGAAAAAGGAGAGATTGAGAGCGAAGAGAATGGACAAACAGAGAAGAAAGAAGGAAAAAAAGGACAGATGGAGAGTGAAGTGAGAGGAGAAACAGACGAGAATGAAGAACAGATGGAGAGTGAAGTGAGAGGAGAAACAGACGAGAATGAAGAACAGATGGAGAGTGAAGAGAGCAGAGAAACAGAAAAGAAAGAAGGAGATAAAGAGATGAAGAGTGATGAGACTGGAGGAACAGAGAAAAAAGGAGGTGAAGAGAGTGGAGAAACAGAGAAGAAAGGAGATGAAGAGATGAAGAGTGAAGAGAGTGGAGGAACAGAGAAGAAAGAAGGAGATGAAGAGATGAGTGAAGAGAGTGGAGGAACAGAGAAGAAAGAAGGAGATGAAGAGATGAAGAGTGAAGAGAATGGAGGAATAGAGAAGAAAGAAGGAGATGAAGAAGAGATGAAGAGTGAAGAGAGTGGAGGAACAGAGAAGAAAGAAGGAGATAAAGAAAAGATGAAGCATGAAGAAACAGAGAAGATTAAAGAAGATGAAGGAGAGAAAAAGAGTAAAGATAGTGGAGGAATAGAGAAGAAAGAAGGAGCAAAGGAAGATAAAAACTCAGTAGAGATGGAGAGTGAAGAAACAGAGAAAAAAGAAAGAGAGACAGAAGCAATAGAGATGGAGACTGAAGGAGAGACCGATGGAAATGAGGTGGAGACTGAAAAAACAGAAGCAGAGAGAAAACAGGTGGAACCAGAAAAGCTAGCGATGGATGAACAGACAGTAAAGGGAGAGACTAATAGAAGAGAGATGGAGAGAGCAAATAGAGAGACACTGAGAGACAAGACAGAGACAGAAAGAGCAGAAGACGAGACAAGAAAGCAAGAGATGAACGCAGTAGAGGCAAAGATGGAAGAAGTAGAGAGACACAGAGGAGAGATAAATGAAAAAGAAGAGCGAGAGAGAGGAGTGATGGGAGAAACCAATTTAGAGAAAGAAGAGATGGACGCTGAAAAAGAAGAGAGCATGAGAGGAGAGATGGTGAGAGAAAATACTGACAAAGAGGGAGAAAAGATGGAAACTGAAAAAGGGGAGAGAGAGGGGGGAATGACTGGAACTGAAAAAGAAGAGACAGATACAGGAGAGATGGAGATGAAAGAAGGAGAGAAAGAGGGAGAAGATGCAAGAGAGAGTGAGAAAGCGGAGAAGAAAAGCAAAAGTGATGAAAAGCCCAGCAGCTCTGCAGTGCAGGAGAAAAGGTTTGAGCAAGATCAGAGAATCGCATCACATAAACAAAGAGAAACTGATATTGATGTCGAGGACATTAATTTTCATGACCTGTCTAACCCTGAATTTACACCAGACACAACATATACTCTACCATTCCACGTTTCAATAAAGTAAGACCAGTTTTATTATAGAAAGTGTATAAAATGATAAAATAATTGTACCATGCTGGACCTGTGCAACTTCGCATGTTCGTTTACACTCACGGGCCACTTTATAAGGTACTCCTACCTTGTATCTACACTTACCATATGCAGTACTCTGCAAAATCTGCCTGCTCAGTGGTGGTCCCATGGGGGTCCTGACCACTGATGAACAGGGTAAAGAAAAGCTAACCAAGTATATAGAGAAACAAACTGACTACAGTCTGCAATTGTAGAACTAAAGTTATATATACTTACATAATAAGTGGAGTTGATAAAATAGGCAGTAAGTGTAGACACAATAAACTCTTATATTCCCAAAGAACCTGAAATACTTAATACAGCATCATAAAATATGTTTTAGTGTCTAGTTTAGGATATGTAAATGTACCTTGTACATTGTAGTTAAACAAATAATGTGATTCATGTGACAAGTAATTCCAAACTTTTATCAGTGCAGCGTAAGTGAAGCATCTAATCTGCACTGCCTCTAACCTAGTTCTATCTCATAACCACTTCAGACAGAAATATCAGCTCTACTTTCTTCTTTTCTTGATAAGCAGTATTATAGCAGATTTAAAATGTGACAGTACAAACAGCAGATCCGTATACTGCAACAAATTCACCATGATACGTTTTTACCCATCATCAGAACAGTAGCCTCCAGACACTATTAATACAGTGCAAGAGTTGCTCTGCAACTACTCGGCCAACAAAATCAAAACAAACGTGGACTCACAGATTTAAATAGGGGTGAATCTGTTCCAGACAACTAAAGTGCTTCAAGAAGACTTTCGGTGTGAATTGGCCTCAAGTATCCTAATCTCTCTGTAACACCTCTCCTTGAATGTGCTTTTATATCTCAATCTTAATCTGAAAGTAATCTTTTAGTATTGTTAAGGATTCTTTCTCCACACCTTTTATTTTTTATGTATATGGAGTATTTTTGTCTCTTAAATCTGAAACCTTTTTTGATATGTTTCTTATTTGTCAGCAGCACTTGTAAGCAGAAGGAAAGAAAGCGGCAGAGAAGAGTCAGTTCTGGTTTTGGTTCTGCTGAGACTGAGGCTGAAGAGCAGGTGCAGCAGAAGAGAGCCAGGCTCAGCCAACTTGACGCAAAAGAAGAGAAAGAAAAGCCAGATTCATGTGAGTTGTTGTCGTTTTTGAGTAGTATTTAATGGCAATATAATAATTACATAATGAATTGCATAGTTATTTACATAATGATGTACATTCTTTATCAACAAGTTTGATCAGTTAAACATTCCTTTAGATCAGAACGTCTGTAAGATTATAAAAAAACAGACATTCAATCAAGTTTGCCCAAACATTTGACTGGTTCTGTATGTCCTGTATAGATAAAACGGAAGATGAGGAGAGGATGGAGATTGATACTTCTCCATCGAAACAGGAAGAAACAGCAGGCGATCATCATCCTCACCCAGAGACTCTCATCTGTCCATCAGACAACGGATCACTGCCACAGAGTGCTGACGTCATTCCTTCTGAACCTGGTGATGCCATGCAGGCTGGTGACATCACAGATAACCCAAGCCATAGCACGTCTCTCTTCATTTCTTTCACTGCTAGTGATGTCACTACCCAGGCAAGTGACATCAACTCTCATCCGAGGGATGTCACCTACCAGCCAAGTGACATCTTCACCTCCCAGCTGTGTGACATCACCTCCAAGCCGAATGATGTAATCTCTCAGTGTGACATTACCTCCCAGTCGAATGATATCATGTCTAAGTCGTGTGACATCTCCTTGTCGAGTGCTGTCATTTCTGATCTGAGTGATGTCACCTCCCAAACGACTGACATGATAACTTCTCAGTCGAGTGATGTCATCCCACAGCCAATCGATATCATTGCCTCCCCGCCAAAAGATTTGACCTGTCAGTTGAGTGATGTCACCTCCCAGCCGAATGAGACCATCACCTCCCTGTCCAGTGACGCCATCGCATTGCAGTCAAGCGACATAATTGCCTCCCATCCCTGTGATGTCACTTCTCTGTCAACCGACTTTATCACCTCTCAGCCAAGTGACGTTATCACCTCCCACCAGCCGAATGTTGTCACTTGTCAGCAGCATGATGTCATTACTTCACAACCAGGTGATGTCACTCCTCAGCCAAGTGACATCATCACTTGCCAGATAAGTAATGTCACCTCTCAGCCAAGTGACATCACATATCAGCCGAGTGATGTCACCTCTCAGCCAAGTGACATCATCACTTGCCAGATGAGTAATGTCACCTCTCAGCCAAGTGACGTCACCTCTCAGCCAAGTGACATCATCACCTCCCAGCCGAATGACATCATGTCCGAGCCGAGTGATATCACCTTTCATCCTAGTGATCTCATCGCCTCTCAGAGGAGTGACATCATTAAATCCCAGTTCAGTGACATCACTACTCAGCCGAGTGACATTACTGAGCTGAGTGACGTCACCATTCAGCCAAATGACATCATGACTTCCCAGCCCAGTGATATCATGTCACAGCCAAGTGATGTCACGTTTCATTCAAGTGACACTGTCACCTCCCAGCTGAGTGATATCATCTCACAGCCAAGTGATGTCACGTTACAGCCTAGAGATATCACAGATATCACAAATAACCCAAGCCATAGCGCTTCTCTGTCCGTTTATGTGACTTCCTCCTCCACAGTTAGTGACTCACAGCTGAGTGACAACATCTCTCAACCATCTGACATCCCTTCCCAGCCCAGCATAGCTACTCCACGCTATTTCCTCAAAAGTAAATCCATTAATGCCACCGTGCAGCCTAGAATCATTACTTCATCACGTAATGCTATCACCCCGAAGCCCAGCAGAATCACAGCTAAACCTCAGTCTGGTGGCATCACCACGAAGCCTGACCCAAGTGACCTCAGCGTTAGAGCTAAACACACCAATAATACCAGGCACCGCGGTGATGTTACATCCAGACACAACAAAACCAGCCCTAAAGCTGAGACCAAATCCCGAGAGAGTCATGGAGTCTCTGCATCACTGCAGGTAAGGATTGATAAGAGTATTGATACGTAGTAGTGTGGGTGGGCAGTCTGACGGTATGCTATTGTTGTTTTATTGATTTTTCTTCTTGTTTTTTCTTAAATTGGCTATTTTTGCAACCACTAATTTAAAAACAGAACATTTATTCATAGTTCTGCATCACCTTTGTTAAATAAGGTACTGCTGTCTGGCTGGTGCATATTGCCCATTCCAACTTTTTCACAAACTTCAGAAAAACATGTATTGTGAAAATGTCTTAAGTGTTATGATGTTATTTTTTCACATTATTCAACCCTGAGTAGTAGTATCAATACAAACGCTAATGATTCTCTTCGATGACAGCAGGGCAGTGAGGAGCGTTCGGCTCAGCGACTCTTCCAGCGGACTCTTAGTCCTGCCGAGGTGCTGCACGTCCACAGCTACGCTAAAGGAGACTACAGCGACCTGGACTCTCACAGCAGAGAGCAGCAGGGAGACAGCGACACAGACACAGAGACACTGGAAGACAGCCAGGTCACTTACTTTTAAATATCTAAACTTGGAATTGCTTGTCAAATTAATAATCCATTAATTATTACTAATGTCATAAATTACTAATGTCCATTACTATTTCATACTCATACCATATAGATTGAAATGTTATACATAACTAGGAACTGCAGAGGTTTTTTTAGATGTTTTTTTTTTCAGTATTTCAAGATTTTTAGGAACAGCAACTATAAATATTTATTCATAGTAATTTTTTAAGTTATTTATTCAACACTTTTGAAATACGAGGCATTCTGGATATTTATTTTAACTTGATTCTCGATGTAATACAGCTTTCTCAGTCATTATACTCATCCTTTTTGCTCCTCATTCTGGACACATTTATACTACTGTAAAAGTTCTTTTATTTTCTTCAAGTTAAGAATTTGAATAAGTTGAAACATATGAAGCTGTAGATCTACAGAGAACACACTGCACATTTACTGTTGATGTGCTGAATTTAGCATGTTTGTTTTAGTACACTTATAGTTAACATTTGTTTATTTTAGTTTTTCTAATATGTTAAATTCAGCAAATAAATAGAAATTGTGCACCAAATGTACTGAAAGGTGGCATATTCAAGTTTAGTCCCTGTAGACAATGTGTTATTTTCTCTTAGAAAATCAACAAAACATCCATTTGACCAGGGGTATTCAAACTTTTGTGTACACTACTCTATCTGCAACAAATTTGGTGTTATATTATTGAAAACAGTGATTTCAGACTTCACCAGTAAGGATCTTCTCTCACCCCAGGGGAAATATTTTTCAGGTACGTGGCTGTGTGGAGTAATTAATATTTTTTGTTGTCCAGCAGGGGGCAGAAGAAGACTTTGCGGTTGCTTTGAACAGTCTGGTGAAGCTGCCCAGACACCATCCTCTGATGAAGGACAGCATCAGCGATGAAGGTGGGGAATTTCACGCTAAACTGACAATGTTAATGTTTCTGTATATCAGTACATTTGAATTTGGACATCTGACCTGACCTTCTGAAAAAATTATGAAAACGTGGCTAAAATGTAAAGGATAGTTTGGCTGTAAACAGAACAATAACAACAACACATTTAAAATGACAGCATGCTTTTATTATCATTTGCAATAACTGAGACTTTTAAGGATTAATCTCCTATATCCAAATGTAATCCTGGATTGACGTTATGATATTGCTGTGGATTAACTGTGAGTGTGTGTGTGTGTGTGTGTTTTCAGAGCTGCAGGACCAGGCTGGATTTGAGGAGGACTGGTTGGAGGGTGAGTCGTGGGCAAAGCCTCTGGCTCAGCTGTGGCAGAACAGGCCGTATAACGAAGAGAGGGAGAGAGAGTACAACAGAGAGATGGGCCTCCAGCCGCCATACTGCGCTGTCTGCATGCTCTTCCAGACATACCAGCGGGTAGGCAGCACTGCCTCAGAGAGTGTGAGAGAAACAGGGAGGTTGTCATAGGGAAGCCATTCTAAAATGGTTTCAGTTTTGACAACATCATGTAGCCGTTAGCTGGTGTAGCAAACAGCCAGTAGTTAGCAGACGCAGTTATAATAAACCAAGTATGTTTGACACAATAATGCCCTTTGTAAAATCTCATCATCATCCCATTTATGTCTCCTCTGTCCAGTCTGAAGGTGGTGATATTGAGGTGGTCCGGGCTGGGGGTCAGATGCGGACAAAGCCATTGATTCCTGAGATGTGCTTCAGCACTACCACAGAGGAAAATGCTGAACTCCACTTGTCCACACCTCACCTGGAGCCGGACGGCACCAGCCTGTTAATCAGCTGCTCTCAGTGCTGTGTTCGTGTTCACGCCAGTGAGTACCACTCTTGCCTGTTAAAACACTGCTTGTATTTGTTGAATGCCACGAATGCCTTGATACATCCAAACATCCCGAGAAACCCATAGGTGGTTGGTGAGGATGTTCACAGCACACAATAAAAATGCAGTAGAGCCGATTGGCTTCTTTTCCCATTTGTTGTGCTGCTAAATCAGGATGACGTGATGCTGAAGAAAGGCTACATGCTGCAGTGGCTCGGTGATGCTGCACAACATGTTTGATTCCACCAACTCTGACTCCAGCACCACTCACTTGCTACACCAGAACTTAATTCAAACTTGAGTCTTCATTCAGTGTGTCAGTGGAGCATTAGTTTGCCTGAATCAAATCTTTTTTTTAATTGTAAGTGAAGCTACTAGCCTACTAGCTAAGCTAGTGCTAGCACTACAACCAGAACCATTCTACCATCCTGAATTAGCACTATATGAAATTCTTTCACCAGGCACAGAGTCTACTGTCAGTCTGATGTTGTGTTAAAGGGTTTTTTCTTTGAAAGGTGGAGAGGTCCACTTATAACATAATTAGTTTTATGAACCAAAAGCTGTCGTAATTCGATTTAACATGACCGTTTTCCAACTTCTCTTTATCTCTTTGACTTCAGTAGGCTGTTTTTGTTACTGATATATGTCAGTGAGCTCTGTTCTGATTGGCTGCCCTGTACTGTGCCTCATTCAAAAAGCAGTCCAGGCTGAAACCCTCCCTAACTTCAGCAAGAATGGGTGGGGCTGAGCTGTTGTAGGCTGAATAGGTGGATGTATGCAAATGTCTTGGTTTTCATGAATGTCACGAAAATAGTGAATTCAGTACAGGCTATTTTTGCAGCTTGGTTTCTGTATATGGACTGGGGAGTGAATGGTCCGTTTTGAAATTTTTTAAATGTTTACATACTATATTAAACTTTTATTTCAAGTTGGTGAGGTAAATTAAAGGTTTTCAATGTTTAAATGATTGATTGGTATATAGTGATTGGTTACAGGCTCATTTTTAAATTGCTGCTTTCTGCAGCATCAGTACTGCAAAGGCCAATAGTACAGTGACGATTGACAAGCAATATGTCAAGCAGCCCAACTGCATTCACTTTTGCAGTACTGTTGTTTCAAAAGGTGTAAAGACTCTGACCTCAAAATGATTTTATTTGAATGCAGTTCTTTCAGAATTCCAAATGTACTGTGATTCAGTTTGATTGTTTGGTACAATTCAGAATTGTTTTTAGAAATTCTGAATACACAAATGTGACTAGGGGAACTATTATAATTAGTTTGGTATAATCTCTGATACATATATACATATAATACTTGATTGTAATAGACATCATGGTGCATCAATGCATTTTTATACCTTAGTCAACATACGCGTCTATACACCACCACATGACCATTGATACAGGGTTATAATATACACAGGATACAATAATAAAATTTGATCTGTACTAAATGTCTGTTGCAGCTCACCTAATTTGATTTCCTGTCAAGCTTTATACTGTCTCTGGACAGGAAACATGAATCTCGCAACTTTACCACACGTCTTTATGAATATGCATATGGCAGTTTTGGTGATTTTCTTGACGTGATGCTCATATAGGTTTTTGTTTTTGCTAGGCTGCTATGGTGTAGCGACTGAGAGAGTCACCAAAGACTGGAAATGTGCTCGCTGCAAGGCCAACGCCATGACTGAGGTTAGTGTGAACAGAGCTTTCACATGTGAAATCTGGAGTGTTTGTGAATATTCTACTGAATACAGTTACTTTCATTACACTTACACTGCGTGTCAGACGACTGTGGACACCTTGACTTCTTTTGAGATTTTCACTGGTACTTTTCAGTGAATACCCACAAAGGTGTTGTTAGTATAAACAGCTGTTTGCTAATCTTTTGGGTATGTTTAGCTTTAACACTCACCTTCACGTTTATCAAAGTGTGGCAGGTTTTGCCTAAGTAACGATTTGACCCAGATTTTGGCCCAGAGGTGCTTTAACCCTTTAGAATCCAACAGATTTCTAGAACACTCTTGTAAATTCCTGACAGTTTTCAGAGTTGGAAGCTAATTGATCATTGTTTCAATTGTTAAACCAGGTAAAAATGACAATTGCAGGTAAAGTTCCTTTTTACAGATGAGTCCCACCTCTTTAATATGAAAACAAAACCAAGGGATTAAAAACAAAGAGCTGTCAGTACCAGACTGAAGGGGAAATGCGCACTAAAATTGTAATAGGCATTGTAAGAGTAGTACTGAAAATACATTAGAACTACAACTAATGAAGTTCTTCATCATTTCCTAGCGATAAATATGATAAAAATGTTGACATTACACCCTTATAGATAACGGCTGCATAACCAGAATTCTCTTCAGCTACAGTTTCTCAGAGAACTGAAAACTCAAGTAAGAGATATTAAGTAGTTAGGAACAGATAGCTAGCGTTTACACACAGGGAAATAACCACATATTGGTTTATTTGTACATCTCTAGTTGTGACTGCTAAAGGACACTCAGCTTGAGGAACTGAGTGCATTTTCACTCATGTTGTTAGTGTAGCTGAGAGACTGAGACTCGCTGGAAAGTGGCAAACACAGAGACATTTAGCTGACCAGTTTAGCTGATTCATAAAGTCTATGAACTGTTCCTATAAATCGACACAAATCAGGCACAGAAATCCTGTTAGACTGCTCAGTCTTCATATCTGATAAACAAAATACTTTTAAACGCCTTATGTCTCTTCCTTGCTGGGGGATTCACTGTAAAAATGAATGGATAAATGTGTAAAATGTTTTGATAGAAAATCAAAAACTAGAATATTTTATTTAAAACAGTCTAAAAATCTGTCTGTGGCCATTACAGTGACATGCAAAGTAGACAGTAGAGGCAGATGTGGGGCCTAAAAGGGTTAAACACTTGAAATGATTTACTGCTGATAAGTGCTGACATCCCAGCAAGTGGATAAAATAAAATAGGTGGCCTTTGGCATTTTTCCCAAGGTAGGGCTTTTGGCAGTTGTTCCTTCAGTTTTGCAGTTTATTGTTTATTAAACATCTTGCAAACTGACAAAGAGAACATGCTAATTTGGAAAATTAGGTGTTCCCAAACTTTTGTTGAGAAATTGTTGGACATTGTTGGCAAAACACACATTCAAATAAAACTAGTTTTGCTATCTTGTTTTTAGTGCACAAATGTTATAAACACAGCAGAATAAATAAAACAGTTATAGAATAAAGGCATTGTTAAACTTTCGGAGCTCGATTAGTTAGTGACTGTGGAGGTTCTATAATTTTAAGTCATCACTGATGTAATATGTGATTTTAATGCAGTATGAATCTGCAGTGTGTCTTGTTTTTACAGTCTGACAATAATAACTGTGGAATTATTTTAATCCAGTATGAATCTGCAGTGTGTGTAGCTTCACAGTCTTGACAGTAATAATTATGGAGTGATTTTAATCTGGTATGAATCTGCAGTGTGTGCATTTTTGTTATAGTTTTAATAGTCTGACAGTATTAATTTGGGTAAATCATGTAGCCCAGACCAATCGGCCAATCAAATCCAGTTAAAATACATTATGCAACCTTCTCTGGTAGTTTCAGCTCAAGTAGTGGTTTAATCTCAAACTTCCACATTCACAAATCTCTCACATTGTTCACACGCATTGTTGTGGAGTTTTTTTGTTTATGCAAAGTGGATGTCTCATTCTGTTGTCTCATTATGTTTTACAGAGTTGTTGTCTATGCTCATTACGAGGTGGAGCCTTACACAGAGCCAACAATGACAAGTAAGTACAAGGGTCAAGCAGCCATGATTCACACTGACCTTTCTAACTAACCTGCAGCTCATTGCTCAAAATGATTACATTGGCATTTTCAGCTTCTATTTTTCTCTGATTCTGTGTATCACGTTTCCAAAAGGATGTGTGGGTTTTGTTTTGGATCTTTCAGGTGGGTGCATGTACTGTGTGCCGTGGCGGTGCTGGAAGCACGTTTTGTGAACATTGCAGAGAGATCACCAGTAGACCTCAGCGGAATTCCCTTACAGAGATTCAAACTGGTAAAAAAACTGTTCCTTATAGAGAGTCCAGCATGTGTGCATGAAAAACAGCTCTAGAAAATGTTTTTTTTTTTCTGTTACCATGTTGCTGAGGTTTCAAGAACTTTATATTATAAAGTGCTTATTACACACATTACATTTGAAAACACCAGCTGCCCTTTACACTGTGTCAGTGTTTCTTAATGAATAAACCAGAGGGCAAAATCTAATGTGTGGAATGTATGGATGTAATGTAATCAGCATTTAAGTCAAACCAGTTAAGTATGTAGATGTGTGTCAAGTGTACAGATAACACATTTACGTAAAAAAAACCCCAAGGGAAAACAGTTCCATTAAACAACTTCGTTTCCATAGCTAGCTTGTTTTGCTAGTGTTATTGATTGTTCTCTGGACATTAAAAGAGCCACACTAGATGAATTATACTGAGTTTTAGAGGGTGCATACCCCTGTTTTGGGTGTATTTCACTGCAATCCAGCACCAAATTTTCAACAAGTTGTCCTCTGACATTTATTCTCATCACAAGACCTACACAGATAGAACAGGTTTATAGCCAATCAGATTGTGTGGTTGGAACTGTTGTATAAAATTAATGAGTACTAACACCACCACATGTAGGAGGTAGTAGTGGGGGGTTAATTGTGAAAGCACCATATATCATTAGCAAAGATGCAAACAAACATTAAAAGCCGTAAAAAGCGACCTGAATTTCTTATTTTTAAAAAAGTATTTGATGTCTTGTGAGCTAGTTAGGTATTCCCTCAGTAGCACACTTCATTTAGCACTTCACTGATTAGCCAAACTAGGTGTTGAAGGATGGCTACAAGTAACCCTGCACTTCCACTAGGATAGGAACACGCCGACGTATGTAACTACTGCATCACTACTTAACGTATTAAGGTCAATTGTTTATTCTAATATTAGCATATTTTTTTCTTAGCAAATAAATGCGTACCGCCAAGATATAAACATATAGTAATAGAATAATATGAAAATATATAAAAATATTTCTAGTGTTCTCAGGTGAGAAAAACATATAAGAATCTGTACATATAAGACCCTGAAGCCCCCTGCCCTGTATATTTTGGTGTTTTCTAGGAATTGGTGTGATTATTCAAATATATGAATTTCCAACTCATCTTAGAATTTCCGTGCTTAATTAGGCGTTTGAAAGATGTGTAGTTTGGAATAAAAATGTAAAATGAACAGTGTAGAACTGCAAGTAATGTGGCAACATCGCGTTAAGCCAAATGCTAACGTCTAAGCCGAACTGTATGTGGATAAAAATCAATAAAGAAACACACCTTCAATCCAACCATCAGGTATGGATTGCCTTATATATTAGCTGCATGCAAAGCATATTATTTATTTATTTATTGTAATTTTTTTCTCCCAGAACAATAACAATTTCTCATTGTATGAATTATCGTCCTTTAGGTCAGCTGTCTACACTGAACTATATAAAACATTTTCTTGTTGTTATTTCATGCTATTTGTTTAAAATGTGGTTATTCAAATTGCAAAAAACATTTTCTAAATGGTTCAAATACTGTTAAAATATCTCTGCTCTGTCACACCTGATCCAACCAATAAGCTAATTAAAGTCAGTTAATAAGTCCTTCCTGAGCTGAAGTGTGTGTTGGAGTAAAGAAAGAACAGGGCTACTCCTGGAACACTGTTCTGTGTTGCGTGTAATTCACAGTTGTTGTGAACTTTGTATTTGATAGAAATGTTATTACTGCAAGCGGAGGATGAAGAAGCCTTCAGGTTGCTGTGTGCAGTGTTCTCATGGTCGCTGCCCCACATCGTACCACCCCACCTGCGCCCAGGCCGCGGGTGTTATCATGCACCCAGACGACTGGCCTTTTATTGTCTACGTCACCTGCTGCCGCCACAAAGGCCCTGTCCATTCAGAGGTAAAAACCTGCTTGCATACCCCTGTTTTGGGTGTATTTCACCGCAATCCAGCACCAAATGTTTAACAAGTTGTCCTTTGACATGTAAGCTCAAGTGCATGCCGTAATTAAAGCGAAAGAAGGTCATACCAAATACTGAACGATTCTGAAATTCATGTTAAAATATCACATTATCAAGATTCTACTTTTGATTAAAAAATTTTAATGCTGATAATGGAATTTTGTAACTTGTTTGTAACATTTTCTTTAGTGGTCTCAGACTTTTGGACCTGTACATCTGAAAACATGTTTTAGTTTTCAAAAGTAGCCAAGGAACATTTAAGGGGTTTTGACGATGAGTAACAGGGTTTTTTCAGGCATTTTCAGATGAGCTGATAAGCTAACAGGGCTAATGAGTACAACACTGATGGTGGAAGTGATAGTAGCCTAGATGGTGATACAGTGGCGGCAGAGCTGGCTGCGCCTTCTCAGTCACATCCTTACACACACGTTGGCAATGTGATCAAGTTAAGCCACAGCAAAGTGCAATAGAATATACATACATACATACTTGCAAATACGAGTAAACTCACCACATCACGACCGAGACGTTGGTAGTGACTGTTTCGGTAGCGAAAATTTTAACTAATTTTAGCATAACTCAAAAACCCTAGCCAGTATGGCTAACAAACACAGCTTTGAACAGTTGTACATGCATAAAATCATAATATTTTAATTAAAACACAAAAAAGTTTATCTAATTGCAGAAAATATGTGTTTCAGTAGTGACACTTCTTTTCAGACTATGGAACAAAACAATAAACTGCTTACCATGTAGCCATGAGGGTGTTGCAGTTTCACTTCCTGCTCTAAAATAATGTAGCTAAAATAAGACTCTGCTTTTGAACTAACCCACTTTGTGTTTCAGTAGTGACATGAAAACGTTGGACAGCATTTTTGAATCAAGCAAGTTCACAAAGGAAATGTATAGTAAAGTAATGTATGGTAAAGGCTGAGTCAGTATCTGTGCTGTAACACCAGTGAGCTGCATTTGTTGTGATAACATTCAGTGCCCTGTCTGTCAACACTGCAGTGTTACACTACATGCCTTCATGAGACACACCCTTACACTTTTTTTTACAGATAAGAAATAACATTTGCAGAGCACAAAAACTACATACTTTCTTGCACCCGAAGCCTCTTTCACATGTCACTGTCAGAACAATTAATTGGTGGGGGTCCTTTGATTTGAGACATGTCGTTTTATTTTATTGTATTTTATCTAATAAATTTATTAGGGTTTGTTTTAAGGAGTTCTTCCTTCACCTGACTGAGGAAGAAAGATGCAGTTTTCAGTTTTAGTTTAGGCTAACGTAGCTACACTGTTAAAATAAGTTAGTGCTCGGGGCATTTTAATATTTTGAGTGAACTGAATTTCAAAAAGTAAGTTAACAGGACAAGAATTTATGAAGTACAAACTCCCATAATTTTTTCACCATGTATTCAGTGATTAGGACCCCCTACAGGACCACCACAGAGCAGATATTATTTGGGTGGTGGATCACTCTCAGCACTGCAGTGACACTGAAGTGGTGGTGTGTCAGTGTGTGTTGCACTGGTCTGAGTGGATCAAACACAGCAGTGTTGCTGGAATTTTTAAACACCTCAGTGTCACTGCCGGACTCAGAATAGCCACCAACCAAAAATATCTAGCCAACAGTGCGCTGTAGGCAGCATCCTGTGACCACTGATGGACACAGGGTATAAAAACTCCTGCAGCGCTGCTGTGTCTGATCCACTCATACCAGCACAACACACACTAACACACCACCACCACATCAGTTTCACTGCAGTGCTGAGAATGATCCACCATCCAAAGAATACCTGCTCTGTGGTGGTGCTATGGGGGTCCTGACTACTGAATAACAAGGTGAAAGGAAGCTAACAAATTATGCAGAGAAGCAGATAAACTGTAATTGTAGAACTACGGCATGCACCTATATGATAAGTGGAGCTGATAAAATACAAAAGGTGTAGATACAAGTAGGTGTACTTAATGAAGTAGCCAGTCGGCGTAAGCTTGTTTGTGTGGTTTATGACACTGTTATCTACTAAAATTATTGCACAGCTAAGAACAGTTGAGCTGTGTAGAAGGCAGAATTTTGTCTGTACTTTTGTCCATATTTCAAAGTATCTGCTGTGTCCTGTGTCGCGTGATGTGTGCTAATGCTTACTCAGGGATATATGATATGGCTGTAAGTGTAAAGTGTCTCTGGTGAAATATGATCTCTTTCTCTCTCAGCGGAACAAAGAGGCCATGAGGGAACTCAGCGTGGGCCAGAAAGTGATCTGCAAGCACAAAAATGGGCGTTATTACCAGTGCGATGTGGTCCAGCTTTCCAAAGAGACGTTTTACGAGGTCAACTTTGACGACGGCTCCTTCAGCGATAACCTCTTCCCTGAGGACATTGTGGTAAGAGGACTTGAATGTGGACAGCTGCATGCCTACTTTCATCTTCCGGTGGTGCCACAGCAGCTTCTAGAGCTAGATCTAATCACTTAACCTTCTAAAGCCAGCACAAAAATGTGGCTAGTGCAAGCTTGCACACTCAATCTGAAAAAATCTTACTGCATCCAGAAGTAAAGTAATGCTCTGATTCTTTATGCCAGTATGTTTCACTGCCAACATGTACTCTCTAGCAACAAAACCCCTTTGGTTGCAGATTGAAATGAGTCTGAGAGACCATTGCCAAATTGTCCTGCTGGCTCTGCCCCGAATCTGCTCCAAGTCCCAGTCAAAACTCTAAAAGAAGGTTATATAAGTTTGTTATGAAGGTTTATTGCACCGTTGTTTGTAGCGTAGCTAGACGCTGCCTCCTACTTGCGTAGCCACCTGTTACAGGTTATTCATTTATAGGAACATGATAGCTAGCGGTTAGCTTAGTAGAATGTTCTCCTACCCCCCCCGGCCCCCCTGATATCAAGGCTCACAGCTTTCCCTGTAATTGTAATTTATAGGTGTGGCGCACATTAAGGCTTCTATAAGAGACTTCTCCACAATGTCTAGCTGTAGCGTGTGCTGAGCATTCAAGTATCGGACACGATATGTTTGTGATCTACTCGTTGCAAGATGGAAGCCTGAGTTTGGTTTTCCATTTTGCACTTTTGACTCCCCATTCAGAGACTAGTGAGAACAGTGGAATGATCTATTTTCCTGCAGGGGAGGCTCTTATTCTTCAAAATCAAACATGTAGGGCTGAACCACACTAATCCTGTCTGCTGCATGTACTACCTCTAGCATCGCTGGCGGTCTAGCCCACCACTGCCACTGGTGGCACATTGTTTATGTTGCCAGGGAGATGCCACTGTTAATCATTATGCGATCTGACACTCCCACATAGTTATGAGCAGGCACCAGCTCGGAATTTTTGGAACATTTATCTACTATTAATTTGTATTTATTTATATATGTTTCTACTGCCCAATGACAACTGGGATAGGCTCCAGCACCCCACCGCGACCCAGAAGGATAAGCGGTTTAGATGATATATGTATGTATGTATGTATGTTTCTAGAATATAACACAGGCTTTTTCCACAACATATCTTTACTATTAAAACAAAATTTGAGCAAGAGTAAAGTTTAGTTCTTAAGTTTCTGAGCAAAATATGAGTAAGTTTTGCTAGTCATCGGAGTGCCTTTACTACACAGTCTGCCCCAATGAAACACCACACACTCTCAGATTATGCAGACAAAGAGTCCAGACCAATAGTTCCCATTCTCAGAAGTTTCTCACAAACTGCTACATCGTGGGATTTTTCACAAACTAACGTGACTTTAGATCTAAACAAAACTGGCAGATGACAGCAAGGCTGCTTCTGTGCTGGTGGTGTGTACTTTCTGCAAAGAGAAAGCCGAGTGGAAGACAAAAATGTGTATGTAGCCATGGCTTCTGTTGTGATATGTTTTACAGGCATTCATGCTGTTGCTGCAACTCAACAAGTTTATCCTCCCTCTCCGTAGTCCACTTAGTTCCTGATTTAGCTGCAGTGGTAACAGCTTCTTCCGTAGACACTGACAAGTTCTGTTTGGCTCGACTCTCATTGGTTAGGGTTCTTTCAGGCATGACGTAGGCCCAATCTCATTTCTTCTTTTTACTCCTACCCCTTGTTTTCAAGTGTCACCCTAACCCCTTGGAACGGGGTTACAAGGGGTAGTGGTTGAAATCTTGCCCTACAAAATGGGACAACCCTCAAATTAAAAAAAAAAAAAAAAACATTGCTTCTTTAACAGGCTATTAGCGGTGCTCTGTAGGCGACCCTGCCAGTCTGCAGGTGATAGCAGAGAAGGAAAAAGTTTAGCAACCTGGCTGCTGGGCTTTAGTTACATTTAGGGCATCATAAGGTTTTTAAGGAGGGGGTATACGACAGTTATTTATTATTGCCCACCACTAATTCTTTAGTGATACGAAGCTGAAGTCAGCTGTTCTTGTTCAGATTTTCCCGTTCCACCTTAAATGGTGCAGCAGTTACATTCTGGCGCTTCAGGCGTCAATACTGCTGGACTATTTAAGGTGGAACAGTAAAATTAGCTAGCTAGCTACCGAAACATTAGCATGCTATTAGAGATTTTTTTTATGCTTGTTATGAAGAAAACGACCATAATACGTAATATTGAAACAACATTAAACTAATAATAAGATGGTTATCGTAATTTTTAATGGAGAAAATACTTACATTTGTGGGTGGCCCCGATTGCATTGGGAGTAGATTGATGGAGTAAAGATTAAATTATAGAATATCATCGTTAAAGTTCACACTATCAGGAGACCTTTTGCGATTATGGGAGGAGCAAATTGGCCTCAAAATTAGCCTGATTATCCTGTAGTGTTTTCTTTTTGTAGTGGTAAGCCCCCCACGTTACACCACATAAGTCCATGACCTGACAACATTTTTTACAGTGCATTTTCATCTCTAAATTTGAATAGGTTGCGCTAAAGAGAGGAAGTGGTTATCTGGGTGTGACTTAGCATTCTGTGCGATCATATCAACATTACCACACCATGTCTTGGTGCTAAGCCGTAAGTGTCCCTCAGTGTCCCCGCTACTAGCTGGGACTCCACACAAACTTTACGTCATGCGATCTCACGGGGCAGTTTCTCCTCTTGGGCTCCCAGATACGGACAGTTGTGGAATCGCTTGGGTTCAAACTCACAATCTCCTGAAATTGGGGTGAATTTTTAGACTATTGCACCACATGTTACTACATTACTTTTCAAAGTTAAAACAGCAAATAATTTTTCAAAATCTGTTAAACATTGAGGAAACAGAAATCTGAGTAATTTAAGAGCTTGCGAGTATTGCCACAAACTAAGCATTCACCCCAACCAGCAATTTGTTTGTTTGAACCCTAGTGATGCCATAGCCTTCCATGACTGGGAACACAAGAAGAGGAATACCAGCTAGTAGGGAAGTTGAGTAAAAAACATAACTTCAGTACTGTTGAACAGATGCAGAACTAAAAAATATGAGAACTTTAGATGAAACTGTGAAGTTTGAGTTGGGTGAACTCAAGTTAACTCAGTTACCTTTATGAGCTGATTTTCATTTTTAGCAGTGTAGTTTTGAAAAACATTGTTACTTACTTTTGTTCCTCTTTTAAACATTTTTTGAAACTTTTTATTTACATATTTTTTTGTACCAGTTGTAATCCCTGGTGTTGTGTTTCTACAGAGCCGTGACTGCAGCCAGCTGGGCCCGCCGCCCCCCGGAGAGGTTGTGCAGGTGCGGTGGACTGACGGACTCATCTACGGAGCCAAATTTGTGGCGGCTCACGTCACCCAAATGTACCAGGTAGCCCTGCACAGCACTGTGCATGACTCTCCACACCGTCACTAATACAGAATACAGACAAAAGAGGAAAATGGAGTTTGCCTCCATAACCAGCCCTCAATGCAGCTGATTGCACAGTAATCTGATGTTTTGTCTAATCTCCTTCTGTGCTTTAATGAGTAAGTGCATTAGAGCTTTCTGGGTCTGCCATACAAAAGCAGGAGTATTTTTATATATACAGATACAGATAAAGATACAGATTCAGAAGAATATAGTTCTTTTTTATCTAATTTTAAGTGAAGTTATAAGCTATGACCCAGATATAGCCCTATATTTACTGAAGTAAAGAAAATGAGTTTGGGCTTTTCCAGGATCTTGCCTTTACTTCTTCTCTGTGTTCTTCTATGGCTTCTTTCATTCTTTCTTCATTCCGCCTGTTGTGCTTCTTACATTTATTTTTGTACGTTTATTTTGCAGTTCTGTTGCCTGACTCACCCCTTGCTTTGCGCTCTGTGGTGTTCTGCTCTATAATACACACAACTCTGCTAAACCTCGCCAGCTACTATTAATAATATGGCAAAAATACAGTATCATGTTCCTTGAAGACATTTTCACAATACACAATATTTATTTAAAAAAAAATAGAAAACTTTCAATACAATGATTTCTGTGGCTTCGCATACTGTACTGTAGTAAATCCAATGAAACAGAACCAATTATGCTGTCTTTTTTAAGCTATTTTGAAATTGAATTGAAACAAAAATGGTAAACATTAATTAAAGTTCTCCCCATGTAGAACTAATCCCATCCAAGTAGTACTTTAAACTGTCCCAAATCACTCAGCATTACATTACATCACTAGGTACCTAAAAAGCTTGGCTTGGTTTATAGAATCACTTCGGTTTGCCTGCTACAGTGTAAAATACTGAGTGAGGTGTCGTAACCTTTGGACAACCCTGTACAGGTGGAGTTTGAGGATGGATCACAGCTCACAGCCAAGCGGGACGACGTCTACACATTAGACGAGGAGCTTCCCAAGAGGGTGAAATCCAGACTGGTGAGCTACCCCTCACACACAGCTGTGAAACTACGTACTTCCCTTGTTGAGAACTGAGAGCAGAAGCTGACATTTTTGTGGCATTTACTATTGTTACATTTGTTTTGTTTGTATCTAGTCGAAAGCATCAGACATGCGCTTTGATGGAATTTTCGGTGAGAAGAAAGTTCAGGACAGCAAGAGGCAGCGAGTCATCAACTCCAGGTATCGGGGAGATTACATCGAGCCAGTCATCTACAGAGCCATCATGGAGTAGCTAGAAGAAAGCCGGCGGCCTTCTTCCCTCACACCACCAGCACTGATTCAGTCCTATACACCCACACAGCCCCCGTCACACTCCAACTCACAACACGAAGTGAGACATGGACTTTCTCTTTCTGCTCAAGTACTTCTACAGGAACTGTTTTTTGTAACACGTTTCAATTGGTCCAACAATATTGCCATCTCTCTGATCTCTGATGAGCTGCCTGGTTTCTTAAAGGCGTCTTTTAAAGAGTGAAGGCATATTTTTAAATATACGCTCTCATACTACATCCAGACGGAAAGAACGCGCTTAATACGCTTCATGGAAATTGAGCCGCATGTGCATATAGCTTGTGGTAAACCTTATCCCAAAAGCATTAGTTAATGGAGTTTGTATTAATTTGATAAAAGATTTTTATCTATCTCCATCATTCACTTTGTATTAATTTATTTTCTTCATGTTCAGGGTGCTATTTCAGCCCATATTTTACAGAACGGAGGAACCATTCTCCATTTTATTAATACAAATGCCTCCTTTTTTAATAGATCTACACTGTCAAATGTACAATTGCATTCCTGAATATTGTAGACTATTTGGAACATAATGAATTTAGCATTTTTGCATTTCTGGAGTTGTTTTGTTTCTTTCTTTTTTACCAACCTATTTATTAGACGGTGCTTTATAAAAGTAGCCTTTTGCAATATAATTGTGTGAGTTACAGTGCTGTACAAAGTTCTGGATGGATGATGTGGTTTCTTTTTGACTGAAAGGTATATGTAGAGTTGAGACTCTTTTTGAAAAAGCCACGGATTTCCTCCCCAGTCCCCAGAGCTCATTCATTAGTGCATTCGAAGCTTTCCGCCTTGCACTCTGATCTGAATCCTGTTGTTTTTTTTAAATAATAACTTACTGCTGTTGCAATCTTATCAAATCCCCGTGCTTTAAATAAGCTATCTTTGCACTTCTAAGCTGTACTTGCAGTAGCCAAGTTCCAGAAACAGCCACACACAAACTCATGGAGGTTAAAGGTGGCCTTTTAATGCCCTTTTGCTTGCCTGTGTACAATGTGTAGTCTGTGTCTGTTAGGGCCGTGTAGTCGACAGCCTTTTGGATATTGGAGTCTCTTTCGCTCAATAGGAAGGGACCTGTATTACCACTTTAAAAGAAAAAATTACTTATAAAAGGAAATGTTTTTTATTGAGAAGCTTATTTTATTGCTTTGTTTTATAATAAGTGTTTAATGTTCATATGCTGTGAGATAGTTGTATGTAGTTAATTTAATGACATTGAGCTGCCAATGCGTTTGGGCTGCCTTTTGTTTTCCAGCTTTCTTAAAGAAACGTGAGCCTCCATCCACACGGCGCTTCATGAATGCAGAGCCTCCGAGACTTCGATTCATGTCTTTTGTAAAGATCGTCAGTGTGTGTCAGTAAAATGATGTGGGCCTACACAGTGCTTCAGTGAGTTTTCTTAAGCGTGGCCAGTTACAGTTGTATGCAGAAGTTTGAACACCCCCACTCAAATGACGTTATGTTTATTTTCTAAGTAAAAATAAGTCAACACATCCTCTTCAGGAAACTCAAATATAGCATTTTTCTGCTAATTTTAGTGCACAATTTCTATTTATTTCTATTTATTTATTCCGACATATTGGAGAAAAATAGAGCATAGCATATTAATTGTGCTATATCTTTATTTTTTCAATATGTCAAATTCAGTAAATAAACAATAATGCACAGTAAAGTGTGCAGAAGTGTGTTCTCTGTCGAGGATGTGTACTTATTTTCATGTAGAAAATCAACAAAACGTATTTAACAACTGGCTGTGCTTACAGTGATTTTACCATAGTTAAAGAGTGCTTACAGGTTTGGCTGTGGTAAAATTACTGCAGCGTTTGACCTTGAGAGACCTTTTATAAATGTAATAAATACATCACTGTTCAGTAAATTATTTATTATCAATCATATGCATATGCATTTCATTTGATTTTACTACGGTAACGAAGGGTTGACTGTGGTAAAATCACTGCAATGCATGACCTCAGGTGGCTTGTTGCACCAATGTTCAATAAATAACTAATTATTATTGATAATAATTGCATTACAGTAACTTTACCATAGTCAAAGAGTGGTTAAGAGGTTGATGGTGCTCAAATCACTGTAACACACAAGCTTGTGTGGCTTATTGATTTTTATAAAGTAATGGCAAAATACAATAAGATAAAATAGACCAATTTATAAATAATGTAATAATAATAATAACTAGATTACGGTGAGTTTGCCATAGTTAAAGAGTGATAACTCTGTTGATTGTGATAGCCTCTTAAGTGGCTTAGTGCCTATAACATGACAACAAAATACAATCAATTTCATTTACTATTAATAATAATCGCCATAAACAATTCTTCTAGCCAGCCATATAGTTCATTAAAAGTAGATAAACATAATATGTTGCATTGATATAGATTGTGAGAATGTTTTTTATAGAAATTAAGCATTTTACTTTGAGGCTAAGCCGGTCAGTTGTAAGCTGAGCTTGTAAAGCTCAATTGAGATCACTCATGAACAGGACCCCAAGATACTTAAACTCCTCCACCTAGGGCAGGTCATCTTACCTTATTTCAGTGATTTTTAAAGTAGATATCTATTTTATTAGTATTCTTTTTATTTATTTTCATATTTAAGAGTATTGGCGTCAATACTGCAGGCATTCATAAAGAAATCTTAAAGAAATCCCAGCTTTATTGGCCACTATTAGAAGCGAAGATACATAGGAAAAATTAATCGTGCAGTACAACTGAATGTAAACTTTAAGGTAGTTCAAATCAACGGTGCATGCAGTAAAACTAACCACATTTCTGGTTTAACCTTTAGCACTTTCACATTACCCACAATGAGGTTAAACCTGAAAATGTGCAACATACAAAGGGATTTGAGGGTTAACTGGGAACCAGTGAGATTTTGGAATAAATCAGATAAAGACTATTTAAAAATTAATAAATGTGTGTGTGTGTGTGTGTGTCTATATACACTTACCAAGAACTTTATGAGGAACACCTCCTTGTATCTACACTCAATGTCCTTTTTATCAGCTCCCCTTACCATATAGGACTTTTGTAGTTCTACCATTACATACTTTAGTCCATCTGTTTCTCTGCATACCTTGTCAGCTCCCTTTCACCCTGAGCAGGTACTATTTGGGTGGTGGATCATTCTCAGCACTGCAGTGACACTGACGTGGTGGTGGTGTGTTAGTGTATGTTGTGCTGGTGCAAGTGGATCAGATGCAGCAGTGTTGCTGTGGTTTTTAAACACTGTATCCACTCAAGGTCTGCTCTATTAGACACTCCTACCTTGTTGGTGCACCTTGTAGTGAAGTCAGAGATGACGTTTCAACTTGTTGCTGCATGGTTTGTGTTGGTCATCCTTTAGTCCTTCATCAGCAGTCACAGGATGCTGTTGGCTGGATGTTTTTGGTTGGTGAACTATTCTCAGTCCAACAGTGACCATGAGGTGTTTAAAATCTCCAGCAGCACTGCTGTGTCTGATCCACTTGTACAAGCACAACGCACACTAACACACCATCATCACGTCAGTGTCACTGCAGTGCAGTGCCAAATAATACCTGCTCTGGGTGGTCCTGCGTAGGTTCTGACCATTGAAGGACAGGGTGAAAGGGACTAGTCTGTAACCGTAGATCTACAAAGTGCACCTATATGGTAAGTAAAATGCTTGGTCAGTTTGTGTGTATATAAACGTGTGTGTGTATGTGTGTGTGTGTGTAGACACTTCTAACCACTAGTTACACTTTAAAGCTCACCCTCCTTAGACACACTTACTCTAATAAACACAACTACTCTAACAACACCAGCAACCTCAGCATCAACAGCGACAATAATCGTCCTTTTTTATCCGGAGTCACTCTGCATAGCCACACCAACGCCAGCTCTGTGAGCATCCTCTCAATCAGTCTGCCAGAGTTGAGACTGAGCACTGTGTCCTCCTCCTAGGCATGGCGGAACTCCTCACAGCTTTCAGCGTCAATTCAAGCTACTAGGAGCAACGGCCACAGCAGTGGCACTACTCTCAGCTGCCCTCCACTTCCTCTTTTGTCCACTATGTCATCGATGCCGGTAAGGGTACTGCCAGTGTCCAATGAGGATGCCAGTGTCCATACGTGTCTATGCTGCACTTGATCCAAAGTCCTCAGCAGCAGCCAATCTTTCTAGCTGGCTTCTGTTTCCCCGCCAACTCATGCATTGCCTGGGGTGGTGTCCCCTCTTTCTGCACTGCCAGCACAATAGTTGCTTGGGGGCCTCTTGGCATGTCATCACCTTCTCGAGTGCCCTCGCCTTGTAGCACTGTGCTGCTTTCATGCCAAGGATGTGTTCTGCCTCGGTGGCAGCTGCTTGAAGGTTGGCGAGCACGACAGGCTGCACGTGCTGTCTCAGCTTCTCCAGCAGCAGTGTGTTCAGAAAGTGTTCCAGCATGCCTCAAACACCCAGTACGCCTGCCGAACCATTGTGCTCAGCTCCGCTGCCAGCATGCTTATCTGCTCTCTTTTTAACCTCTGCCTCTCAGGGAGCAGTCGCTTGGCTGACCATGCCACAGGCACCTGCCCAGAGTGTCGCTAGAAGGCCGTGGTCAATGGCGTTAGGTTGTCATGTTGTTCTGGTGGCAGATCCACAAGCACCTGTAGTGCTTTCCCCTCTAGTGCCAGACACAGCAGCGTAGTAGTGACAGCTGCCGTGAGGCCAGGTGACCACATGCAGCTGAATTCATTGAATTCAAGTGTTTTATCATCACCACAGGTGTAAAAAATCAAGCATCTAGCCATGCAGTCTGCTTTTGTTATTATTTGTGAAAGAATAGGTTGTTCTAAAGAGCTCACTGAATTTGAGCGTGGTACTGTAATAGGTTGCCACCACTGCAACATAAGTTCGTGAAATTTCTTCCCTCCTAGATATTCCACAATCAACTCTGAGTGATATTATTGAAAAGTAGAAGTGTTTACGAACAACATAAACTCAGCCACAAAGTGTAAGAACATGAAAAGTTACAGAGCAGTTTGAGTTCCAAACCACCTCTGGCATTAACATCAGCACAAAAACTGTGCGCCGGGAGTTTCATGTCATGGATTTCCATGGTCGAACAGCTGCATGTAAGCATACATCATCAAGCACAATGCCAAGCATCAGATGGAGTGGTGTAAAGCACACTGCCACTGGAAACGTATTCTGTGGGGTGACGATGGACGAGTCTGGGTTTGGCGAATACCAGAAGAATGTTACCTGACTGCATTGTGCCAAGTGTAAAGTTTGGTGGAGGAGGGATAATGCTATGGGGTTGTTTTTCATGGTTTGGCCTAGGACCCTTAGTTACAGTGAAGGGAAATCTTAATGCTTCAGCATAAGACATTTTGAATAATTGTATGCTTTTAACTTTTAACGTTTGGGACCTTTGGGATGAACTAGAATAGAGATTGCAAGCCAGACCCTCTCGTCCAACATCATTGTCTGACCTCACAAATCCTCTTCTGGATGAATGGGCAAAAATTCCCACAGACACACTCCAAAATCTTGTAGAAAGGATAGAAAGGAAGCTTTTATAGCTGCAAAGGGGGGACCAACTCCATATTAATGGCAATGGATTTAGAATGGAATGTCATAAAAGCTCCTGTAGGTGTAATGTGTAGGTGTCCCAATACTTTTGTCTCGTCCAACATCATTGTCTGACCTCACAAATCCTCTTCTGGATGAATGGAAATTCAGCATGGCAATTAGCTGCAAAGGGGGGACCAACTCCATATTAACGGTTACATTAATGTTACATCCGAAAACAGTATGACTCAAAAAGTGTGAAAACAGGTAACACAAGTGTGTTGTACATCACTTTTAGAGTGTATATATATACAGGATCAGTGGATTTTTGGGGTTGCTCAGTTTAGGACCAATTTATTATTATTTGTTATAATTTTTTTCTTTTTCATTGGTACGTGGACCAGTGGGTATTTGGAGTAACATGAGGACCCAGTGGGTTTGAGGCGTTACCTCAGCCTAGGACCAGTGGGGTTTTGGGGTTAATCAGATGAAAACTAATGACTGTTTGGGTGAATCGGATGAGAACCAATGCGTTTTGGGGTGAATCAGATGAGAACCAATGAGTTTTGGGGTGAATCAGATGAAGGCCAATTGGATTTGTGCGGTCACACGTCTGAAGCGTCCTATCAGCGCTGCCCTTTCAGCGTGTTGTTGTTCCACTCCGGTAGCGGCTTGTTCAGGACATTTACTCTGCTAACGGACTGAAATAGCTAAGAAAATGCGGTCCCAAGCTTATAGAAGTTGTGGATATGGAAGAGCAAGATAACAGCATGTTCTGCGCGATGTTGTCCTCCTCTGGATTGGCGTTTTTTAAATAATTTCTCCGCGTATTTTCGAAGGAAGCTCTCCGGCTCATACGGTACAATGTAACGGAGGTAACGGAGAACAGAACGGAGCTCAGTGGCTGCAATGCGATAAGCTAACCAGCTAGCTAGCCAACATAGCACGTTTGCTAGCAGGGAGATGTTTAATCAATACATTTGTACTTTTTATAGATCTGTTGAATGGTCCTTTTGTTTAACAGACTGGTGTTGGTCATTTCACTGGTTGTAAATTACTACCGCTTTCTGAGCTCGTTTGTTAGGTGGCTAGGTGAGTTAGCTTTTAGTTAGGGGTCGTTCCCTAGTTGCTAGCCACGTACAACAGTTCTCTGCTTATTGGAGATTAGAAACTAAAATAGCTAGGAAAGATTACAGAGCTGAGATGAATGTGATGTGGCTTTTGTACCTTTAGATAGGTTCAATGAAGCAGTGTGAAAATCTTTATCTTAGCCAACACCTAACTCAGCCTCAGCTGTGTGTGAAGTTGGAGCTGATTAAAATAATCTAAAAATAAGTACTTATGCTAGATATTCTATGTAGGGTATGTCTGAGAGCAAAATGGGTCTGCATTAAATGAAGTGTCACAGTTTTCCCTCTTTATATATGTGTGTATATCTATATACAAATATGTTTGCAGTATATATAAAGGTATATATGTATGTATATATAGCTATGTTTCTCAGTATTGTCTGCAGTAGGTCAGCTGTAATAATTACAGCGCTATCATTGTCACATTACTAATAACTAATAATTGTACATGAATGTGTAATTTATGTAATTAATATGTATGTATGTGTATATGTATGTATATATGGATGCATTTTTTTGTTCTTTTTTTCTTTACTTATTGCAGGTGATTTTGTGAAGATGGCCTGCAAAAGATGAGAGCGATGAAGCCCACGAGGAACCTGATGCTGGTGCTTTGTCCCACTCTGGTGCTGGGCTTCCTTTACTACTCCTCTGGGAGACTGCACCTGCGGGCCTTTGGGCAAAAATCACGTTAGTATATCTCGTCACTCACTGTTTTGTCTGTTATCTTTTTTTCCTGTCAAGTTCAAATGTGTTCCAGTAAGACTGATCAATTTTTGCTGTACCACATTCATAATGAATAATACGTAGAGTCTTTTTTCCACATCTGCTGTAAGCCATCAGTCATAATCCTCATGAGTGGCGTGTGGAATCCCTTTTGATATGTTATCTTGGTGATAATTAGAAGTTTGGCTTTGAAGGAGCAGAACATGTTTATAGATGTTAACCAGAGGAGGGAGCTAAGCCTCCATCTCCGAAGCCTTACCTGAAGCCCCCTTGCTGCAGAATTGCCTTAGTAAAAGGTTTAATGTGTTTAGAAACAAAAATGATCAAGAATACTTGCTGAAACGTTCCACATACTTGCTTTTATTTTTGTACAGCTCAAAGCCTTGAGTCCTTACTCTCTCTTTAGAGCCAGTTTTCTCTGTATGTTTTTTTTTCTTTTTAAATCCAAAATATTTATGTACGTTTTTGTCTACATTTATAGATGCTGCCAGTAGGGTAGTAATGTCCATCTGGAACCTGTTTTTCTTAGACTCAGTTTTCATATTCAAATCCATAGTGGCTGTCATCCACTGTAAGTATTAATCCGTTAGGATGTTGTGTCAAAGGTCACCTGAGTTAGTAGTGAAGGACCTTAAGGTTCTGTTGCTACTTTTTATGTATTTTACATTGTGACTGAATTCATACCAACACCATTGTGGAGAATGTATTTCTCTGGATTTCAGAAGAATGCCTTTTAGTTATTTGTTTTGTTTTAGGTTGTAAGGCTCAGCTTCTGTTGTGGGGTGCCCCTGCCAGGGGTTTAGGCAGGAAATAGGTGAGGTGAGAAAATACACAAAATGTAGATCACTGTGTAGGGCTGTGACGGCATGGATTTTTTTCTTACCGTGGTGAAAAAGCAACCTGTCCCTGTGGTTTACAGCCATTGCCCCTAGAGTACCTCCTCCCGAGGTAGGTGTGCTGCTGCCAAGTTCTGCAGATGCCAAGGGATGGTTAATTTTACGATGTGATCTTAGATTAGACATATTTCCTCAGAAGACGGAAAGTTTTTTCCTACAAATGCGGCATTGCCTCATCCAAATTCGCTATCTCCCCTTGTCATCTGGTTCGAAGCCAAAATGTGCCAAAATTGGCCACATAACATTTGATTTAATTTCATGGCCATTGTTGACTCAAATAACGTCAACCGGCTAGCGTCAACTACATTGATTTTGTGATCAATTTTTTTTTTTTATTTGTTTCCTGTTAATCAAGCAGCATTTTATCACAACATTACAGAAAACTACATTGATGATACCACACAGAAGAACTAGCAGTAATAATCTAGCTTTGGTGGTTTACATTATGCTTCTGTATATTATGTCTGTGTATTGTGTGTGTCTATATTCAACTGAACATTACCTGTGGATATCACAAGTAATCAAGCCTAGAAACAATAACAATAATCAGATACACACAAAAGAACTCCCCATATGTTTAATGGACTGTACCCCACCATGTGCATGAAGTTGAAGTGACCAGCACCTGAAAAAGTTTTGTTTCTCCAGAATTCCTTGAATAGGATTACAATGAGTGATAACCAAGCAATGATTAATAAGTTTGTATTCATATCAAACAGCATATGCACCAACAAAAAAGAAACCCCCCCCCGAAAAAAAAGTGATGACACAACCTCACAGTGGGTATCGTATGACTGAGGTAATGTGGTTGTTGTCACAGCCCTATCACTGTGTAGTCAGTAACCCTAAACTAATAAACATGATGTGCTTGTGCATTTCTAGGCAGGTGCCAGGCAATAGATGAACACGTTTCAGCAGAATACAAGTGAAGAGGTGCTAGTATTTAGATTTCGTCATTGTTCAAGGCTGGTAGCATCAGCCAGACTTGCTATATCGATGGGAAATATGTTACTGCTCTGTCACATTACAATGTGCAAGAAGTAACATACCTTTATGTCAGTTAAACTAAGTGATTTAGATTTTGGACTTATAATTGTACCATCAATGACGGCCAACCTTCCATTACTGCTGTGCTGTGTTACTGCTTCCATTACTGCTGAAAATATTGGAGGATTTGAGAAGTAGGCCAGTCGTTGCTGGTCACGGAATCCTATTATTCACGTAAAAGGTTGGGGGGGATGGGGGGTTATTGTTTAATGAAGCAATTACTGTAAACTTTAAAATACAAAGCAAAATAGGTTACCTAAATGTCTGTTAAAAGCTTCTCCTCTCCATTTTTAAGCTATAATATATGTAAATGAACTGACTTTCTTGTTGCTTATTCTGACACCATGAACTGCTTTGCCCCAAATGACCGAAAAAAAAAAAAAACACATGCAATCTGATCTGACAAGTAAAACTGGGTAACATCCAGAAAAAAATTTTAATAGGATTCACAACCATCTATGTGACTTGAAACTTATCAATCTAGTAAGAAAGATTAGAATTAAGAACGTCACACAAACCTTATCATCCGAGGCAGTGGTCTCTGTTGCCTCCTAGCCTCTAGGCTGTTTCACCTGATGTCCAACTGTATTAGAACTGAAACCAAGAATGTTTTTTTCCAAGACCTGACGCTGTTTTGTCTGATGACTAAAAATAGACACGGTAGTTTGAGGATATCCTAAAATATCCACTAGTATCATAGTAACCATAGGAGACTTTTTGTACAGGCATGATATCTGCCTGCCACATTTGCACATGATGCCCCACCCCCCAGAGTGGGTTCAACCAGCACAGGTCAACAGCATGTTTTTAATGTCCTAAAGATCTGTTCTGAATGTTTTTTTTTGTTTTGTTTGTTTTTTTTAATGGCAGTATACGTATGCAGTATTTACAATAAAATGAGTAAACATGAAAAACTGTCCGCCTAATGATACTCTCTGTGTATGAGTATTGTACAGGACTGTTTACAGTTAGGTCTGGACTAGACCTGGACTAGATCTGTTTTCTGAACACCTCGAGCCTGTGTGGAGGTTTATTTGATTAGTTCCAACAGCCACAGATTAAAAATGTATTATGGTAGTACAGTAAATTATACACACAGGGACATGCCATTATATCTCAGTTCATCAGTAATATGTTCAAGTGTTTTAAAGGTGCTGTGGACAGAATAGTGCATTTTATGACAGGTGAGACCAATTTGTTTAATAGCATGCTTGTCTTGCACGGTAGACTAGATGGGTGTTTAATTTGCACTCTTTTAGATCTATTGCGTAATTTGATCAGTTTAAAAAAGAAATATTTCCTTTTGCCCCATTCAAAAACAAACACTTCTTGAATACACATGCAGTAAAGCTGGAAATGATTCCTGTAACTGGGGCTCATCGATCAGCATTTGCCAGTAATTAGAACCGTAATGTTTGTTGGCATTGTGTTGTGGTGTTCGTAAAGGGCTGAGGAGCTGTAGCCTCCGGGCGTTCTTACCGCTGCCAACTTTACTTCGATATGAAAATGGAGCGCAAAACGCTCACAGATTGGTGCACGTTAACCTCTTTCCTGAGCTTGAAGTCATTTGGGAGATGCAGGAGAAATAAACTATGTGCGCTTTTTTACGTGGATGTAAACATGCTTGAACGTAAGCCACCCACACCTCCACTGCGACTGCTACATGTACCGTGAAGCCCTTTGTGTCGGTGTGTGACTGGAACATTTCCCTCAGGGTATTCTGAGGTTCGCCTGCACCACTTACAGTGTCCCAAATCACATCTGAAGGGCTGCTGTTGAGAACACAATTTGATGGTATTTTAAACTACGCTATTTTTAAAAGAGCACATTTTCAGTGTTGCCAAAGAGCTTTTTTGTCATGAATTGATATTGAGCCAGTCTCAGGTTAAGACTAAAGATTAAGACTAAACCTAGACTAAAGAGAGTTTTCAATGGTGATTCACCATTTGCAGTTCCGTCCAAGACTAGGCTTAATCCACGTCCAGGAGACTGGTCCATTGTCTGCATCCTTGTGATCCATATGTTCTTTGATCTTGCCTAGCACAAGCCTGATCATATGACCAGATCATATGGCTAAAAATTGAGTATTTATTGCATTTAAATCTGTTCTTCTTCTTACTTTGTCAGAAAAACGTTTTTTTTGGATATATATTTGTATGTAAATGGGCAGATATTATACATACATGTAAGTAAAACATGCAACACCTTTTTTCCCCCCCAAACACTGTATAGTCATACACACATTTTAGTCAGTGTGTGACATAATATTGGTCATATGATGGCGTTTTCTAATGTTCTTTTAGAACACTTAATACTTTTGTCTCGCTTAGTCTAAAGGGAAAGTCTGCAGCTTTAAGTAGGATAATATGTGGTCCCAGGTTGTAAACATTTTTTTGGTGATTATTTAATCTTTCATAATTTAAGAAATAATAAAAGGTCCCTGAGCCAGTGTGAAACTAAGTGGATATGCTGACTTCCAATCTTATAGGAGAGTTTTGAAGGCAAAAGCATCTCTCTTTGTACTGTTCACTGAAACACACAAAAAATAGCCATTTCCATGCTTTCTGTGCATCTCAACATCAAATGCTTCAGACCGAGAGTTAAAAATAGTTGACCAAAACAGTTTAGGGCATGCTCAGAACATGTGAGTTGGATCAGCCCTGGCAGAATGGCAACAGTCAAAAGTATCACATACATTAGGGAATATTTTAGCCAATTTAAGTACTTGCCCTTCATTAGTTTTACACAGGGAGGTGAGAGAATGTTATTTTAACCACAGTTCATCAGAGATTTTAGTCCCGTCCGAATCTGCTGTGTCATTGTAATAGACTGCGCTCTCCTTTACCTTCTGTAAAACACATCATAGAAATAACCTCAGATTATATTAATCCTGTGCAAATCAACATGTTGGTAAAAATGAACATGTTCTGTGGAAAATGAGTTTACTTTGTATGGAGGGACTCAGCTTTTCGAAAAAGCATTTACTTGTGTTCTCTGTGGCTAAAATCAAGCCAGTATGTACTGAATTAGGCTGAGGCAGGAACAAAATGTTGTTCCGTTAATTCTTCTCAGTGCGATGTCCCAGGGTTTGTCCTGTATCTCCATTCAAAACTCCTTCTCCCACTTTCTGTACTGTTCTGTTTATTGCTGTGTTTTGAGAGACATGATAATATCATAAACAAATGAAATCAGGCTCCTGATCAGGTGTTTAAGATGGTGTGTGTTGCTGGTTTTGGGGGCAATTAAAGAAAGTTAGATATTTGGGTCGTTAATGTAGAGGAGCTGTATTCCATTTTGCATGATTCTGGCGGTACAATGTGTTTTTTTGCAGGTTTACAGCCTAGTAATAGTACATAAGATCGGGAGGTGCAAGCCCACCCTGGGATGCAGGTCTTCGATGTACTGCAGATTTTTACTAAAATGATAAAGATTTCTAATCTAATTCCAAGTTCAAACTTTTATTTGTCACATACGTAGTCATACACAGTACAACTAGCAGTGAAATGCTTGGATAACTGCCTGCTCACATGAAGTAATAAGGTAATTATAATTGTAATAAATTCTGAATACATTTAATGAAAAAAATCTAATATGAAATGGCAGGAGCCAAAGTATAACTATTTGTTACTTTAGGCCAGTCAACAAGTTCTGTTGACTTTTTCCTTATCATACTAAATATGTACTGTGTATCTAAAAGTTAACATATACTTGCAGATTAGTTTTTCTTAATAGAGAGTTTGCCCCCCATTTGCTGCAGAAATGAACTTTTTTTTTGGGAAAACTTAACACTAGATGTTGGAACTTTTGCTGTGAGGATTTGACTGCATTTAGTTACGAGTATCAATGAGGTCAGGTACTGATGTTGGATGATTAGTTCTGGATCACAAATGCCACTCCACCTCATCCCAAAGATACTGGAGCTCCATCACCCATGCAGTTCCACTGCTCTACAGCCCAAACCATTAATAAATGCTTCGTATTGAGCATGGTGACATTAGGCTCATGTGTGGCTGAGAACTTCCCATTCTATCATCAATACTTTTCTATAAAGAAACTGTTTCTTAAAATCCACTTAATTTCTTTTAAAACCCACTTATGCAATTTTCACAAAGATTATGACATTTATGACAATTTTTTCTGATTTGGAGAAAAGACGTAAGAACAGAATCTACATACACTCAAGCACAAAGGTGTTAACAGTCGTGTGGTTTAAGAACACGTGACAAATTGGGCTTTCTTAGGACTTTTCTCATGAACAAATTTAAGAAGAAACTTGGTGAATATCTTAACTTAGCACTATGACTTCAATTAAGCCTACTATAACTAAGCTTACTGTTTTCAAGCTAATGCTTGAAAATGCTTTAAATCTTGTAACAACAAATACAGTTGGGATCTGTACTTTGATTTTTAAATATTAACTGAGCATTGTTTAATTGTAAAAAAAAAGGAGGTACAACAAAGAATGATAAATATTTTTTTTTTATTTCATGTGGTTTTGCCACTAAAATACCTACGTGCACATACTTGCAGACCATTGATATCAATCATGGTTTCATTTAGCCCTTTGGTTTTTAGTTGTATTTTTTCCACTTTAGTTTTAGTTTTCCACAAGATTTTTTGGCCCAAGAGCTTACAACCTGAGATTGTTTCATTAAGAGATTAGCTGGAGTCCAACTGCCTGTGCAAATTTCTGGCTCTGGCAGCGTAATCATTCTGAAGTCTGACTGTTTTATCGTTACTGTAGGTCACTGAAAGTTGAGTGTTTTTCAGAGGTTATTTAAGACTTGGAAAGTGTGTTGTGGAGCTTGTCACTAGCATAACTGCTGAGGCACACAATGGTAAAGTGTTCTGCTTCATATAGTTTTATGAAACACTGAAGGCGAATGAGGGTCAGCTGGTGGAGTATCATTGATGTATCAGTAACCATGAGCTAATTAAATCCATGTCTGATCATGTAATCTGCAAAAAGCAAATACCCTGCTTTCCACTCGTCCAATGTAGACAATAGTCTTGACATGAAATGACTGTATTTTGATTAAGATTTAGTGTGCCTTAGGAAGTGTAATGTGCTCTAATTACTCAGCAATGGGAACTGAAAGAAGTTCAGGTAACAAGAAATACTTTAGGGGAAATATATTCACAAAGTTTTCCCTTTACCCCAAATGTAATCGATCACCCATTTATTGTCTGAACTTTGCTTATTTAATTTTGCAGTAAAGCTATGAGGCTAGTGCAGCTTAAAAGTAATGGAAACGTATGTACTCCAATTGTACATCCACACTGCATGTCTAAATCATCACACACGTTGTTGATTTGTTAAATAATCTCAAATGGAGCGAGTTTTCCTGTGTAGTTTTATGCTCAGTGTAGACTGTACGATAATAGTGATCTAATACATTTATTACATGTCACACTGCGAGATGCTGGTGATAAAATCATGGCCTAATTCCTTGAGAGACTGAATTCAGTTATGGTGGAGGTCAGATTTTGCTCTTTGCTCTTTTGCCAAAATCTAGGGCCTCTCAACCAAAAAACACTCTGCATTGTGTTTTGCCTGAATTACATGTATTAAACAGTGAAGATGAAGAATTTGGAGCCTTTTATGGTTTGGGAAAAAGAGCAAAATGGACTGTCTGTTTTCCAAAGTGAGCTTGAGGCTACTAGGCAAATTTTTCTGTCCATCAGCTCTAGAATGATTAATTGTCATATAAACAGTTGCTAGTAAGTTTCTTTTCTTGTTTGTTGTTTGAAACTATTAAAATACATGCTTTTTTAGTGGCTGATTATCCACTTCACTTGCTAGCTGTGTTTAGTAGCTAACAATGGTTGTACTGTGAAATCAATCACACAGATGTACAAAGCTACATGCTCTTCGTAAGAGTGAATATACAGAGCAAAAAAAACACTCATTCTGCCAGCATACATGCGCGCAAACATTAGAATTAGTTGCATAGCTAACAAATAAACAAACATTACTCAGCACTGACCTTAGGTTAGCGCACAAAGTTAGAATGTTTTTTGTGGTGCTTTCATAATCCCATGATGTCTTAGTGAAATGCATTTACCACTTTATTTTACTTACATTTAATTGCTTCAACTTGGTGCACCTAATTCGCTTTTTGTTTTTTGCAGCATAATATAACTGTCAAATCAAATTGTGTTTCGACTTGTGTCGTAGCAGTGGTCACATTGAGAGATTTTAGACCACAACTTCTGACACTACCAGAACTTTGTAGCAAGCTGTCTTTGGTTGCCAAGACTTCTTTCATGATTTGAATTTTTTTTTGCAAAAGCATTATCGTACAGTATAATCTTGACTTTAGGCTTGAGCCAGTTTATTATGGTATTGTGAATGGTTTAGAGTTTCCATCTACTGAGACGGCCATCAATTTGAAAAATACCTGTGGAATTAAAAAGGAAAAAAGGTTGTCATGTAATCTGTATTCTATGTCCGGGATCACTTTGGTTTATTTTTATTTATTTATTTATTTATTTATTTATTTATTTTTACATTTTTTAAAACATGAGAGGGCCTGGTCGAGCTGAGCACATAACGTCATGCTTTGCGAAACATCAACATGGGCTAAAATAATTGATCTTGATGTTGTGGTTGTTAATAATTGGAGAAAAGTGCTTCAGATATCAGTTAAGCACACTGGGCTTTGGAGAATCCTCTCAATAAATATTCCCAGCTCCTTTTATTATATTGCTTTTTTTTTATTTTTTTTTGGTGGCGAGACACTGGATCCCACTTACCTGCTGTCAGCTGGTGATGGCTAGGGAACATGTTTGGACGATGGTATACTGCACACAGTTTTATAAGGCTACGTGGTTTCCGACGCTGTATGACATATCGTTATCTATAAACGTAGACAAATTTGTTGCTTAGCTAAAAATGGTTGTAGTTAATGCCTGAATTTTGGAGATAACAGTATGTCAAACAGGGTCAGAAAGCACATTAGCAAGTCTATTTGAGATTACTTTCAACTCATCACTAAGGAAACTATTTATGATGATTTAGGCATGTAGTTTGCCCAATGCTAATTGCTAATGACCTTACATTACTTGTTAGCTTCATGAGGCTCATAGCTCCAGTGTAAAATTGTTGAAGACTTCAGACACCAGACATGTCTTGGCTAATCAACTGTAGTTCGAGAAAGAGAGGCATTAATTAACTAATTCCTCCCTCCCTTCCTCCATTTATTTATTTATGTATTTAGTCGAACTAGTGCTTTCAGCAGATTGTTGAAGGCCTGCTTCAGGACTGTGAGGGAAATCTTAATTTTTTTTTATTTGGCTATGGATCGAAGTTGGCGTTTTCTGCAGTGTTTTGAACAAATCAGAAACTAACAGCATGTCACACCCCACATGGCATGATTCTCACACACCTAAGCTTAACTCACACTCTTGTGTTTCAGAGAACGATGTGGATAGCTTACTCTACGTGGGACGTGTAGTAGCATCAGGTATAGGTCCACTGTATGCCTCAAGACATTTAGGCTAAACCTGTTCTTAATGTTGGGAGGTGAATGTAACTAACTAACATCTCTGTTCAGTAAGTTTTGTTTTTGCTAATCATTCTCTAGCCTGGTTTGACCATTCTGGAAACTTCCAGTGTTTTCAGTCTGCTTACTGTTTTACCTTATGGATATTGAACAAAAATCTATCAAGGGTATTGGAGTAATGTCATTGTTATTCAGGTTAGATCAAGAATCTTATTGTGATGGTTACTCCCTGGCCTTGACAAGGGACAGTGATTGGTATTAAATAGTTGGGCTGAAACAAACATTTGGTAATAGCACTGATGGCAGACTAAAACCATAGAGCAGAACAAATGTGAAGTTTGATTTGTCATTATGTTCAAACCAGGCTAAACTATAAAAGCTTTGTATTGTTAAAAGAGGGAATTTATGCTGACGGACTTGTTCCTTGCAGGGTCCATATCCAACATTCTTCTTATTTTCTGTGTGTTTTTATGCAACAAATGTTTGTTAAAACTTGCTAAATGTAATCATTAAAATATTTGATGATGATGTAGCCATTCGAATAATCAGTACTTTTACCTCTTTTATGAAATCATGCGGCAGTTTTATTCGTCTGACAGTAAACAGTTTTGTTAATTAAGCTAGATGCTAATGATTCACCAGTAGAAAACAGTAGCAGCCTTTTTAAAGACAATACAAGAATCTGCCTGCATGTCATATTGAGTGACAAAAGCCACCAGAATGTCAGCGATACTTTTTGCTGACTCGTTTAGACAGCACCAGCAACCTCTTCTTTATTACCTTTGTTTTTTCATTACCTTGCAGTATTTGTCTCATTACAAAGCATTTAGTAAAAGCAAAATAAATTAGAAATAGAATATATATAATTCTACAAAAACACACAAAAAAACGATACATAGAAATATAAAATACATTTTCTTAACCTATTCATTGAAGTGAAACACATTTGTTGAGCTTTTTGTATTAAATATTTTATGATTATATTAGAAAATTTTATTGTTCTTTAGTTGTGGCACTTGTTTTATGTGTTAAAAGCAGTCATACTTCATGTTTACTTCACCATTTTCAAACTTTTCTGTAGAATTAATTTTGGTGTGCCTTTAACACTGATATATGGAAATGAACTCTGTTCTGATTAGCTGCCCTTCATTGTGCCTCATTTAAAACTATCTGGGCTGAAACAAATCTTAAATTTTTACCTTAGATGTGAATGGGTGGGGCTAAACTGCTCTAAGCTAAAATAGTGGAGATTTGTAAATGCTTTGGTTTGTGTGACCACGGACAAGCCATTTAAGTACTAAGTACTAATGATCTTTTCTATAACTATGTTTTATCACCTGTCTGTAAAGCACTTTGAGCTGCAACCGGCATGAAAAGTGCTATATAAATAAAATTATTAAATTATTATTATTATTTTGCAGCTTAGTTTACATATCAAACTGTGTAGTTTGGAGAGTGAAAGGAAGTTTTTTTTAATCTTTATCACATGTTGCGTTAAACTATTTATTTATTTGTTTATAACAAAAAAAAAAACAAAACTGAGGAGAGTTTGGTCTTATATGTGATATGGGCCCTGTCTAGTCTTGTCTACACTAGCACACACACAAATGTTTATAAAACAGCATTGTTAACCCCCCAACATTACAGAGCTTTGCCAAATTGCCACAAAAACACAAACCTTGGCCTTCCGCATACCGATCCAGTTACAAAGACTCTAAAAGTGCTTCTGTCCCAGTCATCACAGCCACTGAAACCTGTGGGTAAATTTACTTAATAATGCATTATTTTTTTTTAAAACCATTTTTCCTTTGTTGTACTTCAGCTGATTTTGAATAGTTTTGTTAGGAGTTAATGTAGGACCTATTTCACAAGAGACAGAAAATCCTTAGTGTGGCTAGGTAATGCAGAAGAATCTTTTTTCTGCAGAAATTGGTCAGACATGCCAGCTCCGTGTTTTTCTCATGTTGGGAGCAGGTCTGGGTATCTAAATGAAATACATTAATGGTACAGACCTAAATACTTCAGTAGCACTAAATATCTGAAAAAATCTACATTGTTCAATACCTGATTTCATTTTACAATTCACCCTTGACAACTGAAAATCATATCAGTAGAGGACAATTTAACCTAAACTGTTTTGACCATATAAAATTATATCTGCTAATTTTTTTTGCTCCGTTAAATCGGTATCAGTGGCAGTTTTCATATCAGTCAGGCTGGGAGGACTTGCACTGTAATGTCATGCCAGGTGCAGTAGCAGCGATTTTCGTACAGTGTATGTAGTGTTAGAATCTATTTTACTCAATTATAACAGCGTTCAATTAAGTGTGTGCTCATTTTTTGCCCAAAATAAAATTGGTCTATTTTCAAACATATAAAGAATTTCCACTACTGTGGGAACAATTTCTTCATTTACCTGTGTGTAATTTGTGTAATTAATTCTGAATTAGATAAGAAATAATTGAATCATGATTACCAGAGATGGCACAATACCCTTTAATAATTACCAATGGTCTCATGTTCTTTAAAAACTACCAAGCTTTATAATTATCTATTTTTTAATTGAAGCTCTTCAGATGATCATCTAAAAGTGTAACGCTTAGTTATCCATATTCTTGTGTTATTATTAAGTTAAGCATGGATATATTATCACATGAGCTGCTTTACTTCACTTAACATTATGTTGTGCTATAAATAGTTCTGTGCTATTTCAGGGCAGGTTTGCTACAGAATCATGTCAGCATTTTCTGCTGGCATTGGCCACCTCTAGTTGTGTAATTCGATATTTCACAACTAGAGATGGCTTCTGTATTTACAGTATTCATGACTTTGTGTTACTCATTGACAGAAGCACAGTGATCTTTGTAAGAAAAGGCTCACTGCACAGTTTGTGCCACATCTGCTCAAAGCTGCTCTAAACACCAGCCACTAACACCTACCGACAGTGCTGTTCACACACACTTTCATTCACATACGCTGTCTCACTGATGTTTTCTGATGTAAATTGCTCAAATTGTCAATTTATATCTGCTTCCAATGGAACATAAATTAACGTTTGCTTTCACTTTTCATTTTTTTTCTTTGTTCAGATCTAACCAGTGGTCAGGTCAGCTTGGAATTTTTTGTTGTGCCCCAACGAATTGTTCTCTTTTTCTTGTTTTGTTCATTCTTTCTTTCATTAACAGGATGAGCTGCACTACTTTTAGTGTTTATTTGTAATGTTAATCTTTGTGTTCCTATATTTATTTAGGATGTTTGGATGAAATGGAAAAATATTTTGTGATTTAAACTTTTGGGGGGTAGCAATTTATTTTAATGATTTGGTAAATAAATAGTATTTTTAAAAGGGAAGTATATAGTAGTTACAAGTAATTTTGTAATACATGCATTGCATGTTCATTGTACGTGCCAGGTATATGCAGCAGTATTTGATGATAAATATGTAATGCGTACAAGTAATACTTGGTGCATGCTTTGCAAGTTGCAGTTTATAAATATAGAGTAATTTATGCTGGAAAAAACAGGTATATTTCAGCATTTAATGCTAAGACGTTACACAGTAGTGGTAAATACCACAAACTACTGTCTGTATGACAGAGTTACAGATGCAGATGACAAAGCAAACAATTGATGACTATGTTCAGAGTTACATTGCATTGGTACATTATGTATCTAGCATGTATGCATGTATTTACTGAAATGCTGAATCTTTATAAGCTGAAATACACCTGGTATTTCTCATGTTAGTTTCTCTGTACTTACGTGTACTGCTGTACTTACATGTACTGCTTTACATATCTGGTTACTTAATCCAAGTTACTAGTATGCAAAGTATGTACCACAGAATATTTATAAGTACTACATATTTACCTTGTAAATTCTGTGTGAGGACTGCTGCACTTAGTGTAGTTTTCATATAAGTTAATATGTAGTAATGTATGTGTCAGAAAATTACTTGTAAGTACCTCATACTTACCTATTGAATACTAGTTATGCACCATAACAAAAATAAATTGCTACCAAACAAAAGCTATCACTGCTTGAGCGTTACTGTGTGATTGTTACTTTAAACATGCACGCTCTTCTGATTATGAATATTCATTGTTTAAACTATCAAAAACTGGACTCAGAAGCTGTTTTATGCCATGGATATATGTTAGGGCTGCACAATATAGATAAATGATCTCATTGCAATTATGTGATTGCAGTATGTCTTGCAATATATAACAACTTGGAAAGCAATCTGTAAAACTTTTTTTAACACTTAAATTATCAAAAAATTTAATCAAATCTTGACCTTAGAATGGAAAATTAAAATAAAAAAATTATTAATTGCATCTCTAATAAAAATATTATAGTCATTGATATGACATGGTGAAAATTCATTCAAACATCCAAAGATTTGTCAGGATTCTTGCACAAGTTAAAATAAAACATTCAGTAATTACGTAGAGGTTCGTTTGCATTTTGCAGACTTCTGTGACATCACTGTTCTAGAAGGCAGTGTCCTGACTAACAATATTGAAGACATACTGTGTAGCCCTAAAATGTATTTCTGAGTACGCTGTATACTGTGTTGATTTCTTTCGTTTGTTTTCTCTTTAGTGTATGACAAGCAAGGATTCCTGATCAAACTTGATGGAAAACTGTAAGTAACTGATTTGTATGTGATTCTTTCTGTGTGTGTTTGTGTGTTTGTCTAAAGCAGTGATTCTTAGTTTCTTAGGTCTTGTTGACCTTATGCCTCACTCTAAGCACATGAAGTTCTTAATCATTACCAGTTCAAGTCAAGTCTTAAATCTGAACCAGTGATCTGTGTGATATTTTTCCAGCGAACACAACCTCAACCTCAACTGGTGTTGAAAAGGGTTAACATCATTAACTTATATTGTCCTTTAAAGCCTGTGATTACAGAATTTTAAATGTTTGTAGTCATCTGCCACAAGTTTTTCCCAAGTGTTTTCAGACATTATCACTAAACGTGAACTGTTTTATTAGGGATGGATATAGTGAATAGTAGCATTTAACAGAGCAGCAATGGAGGATCGCTCCATCAGAAATGTTCCTTACCCCAGTTCTGAGCGAAGCCAGTAGGAGAAGAGTTGACATAGCTAGCTTGACCTGGTTGATACGTTGTGTGATCCTGTGAGCCTCTTTCTGCTGTGCTCGTTGCTGAGCTCCACACAGTCAAAGTCCGTGTCTGTGCCATGTATCCCACTGGATATAATGCATTTGAAGGCACATCGGTGAACTGCATGCCAGAACAACATGAATATTTTTTGTGTGTTTGAACCAAACATTACAAACTATTAATAAGATCAGATTTTATCAGTAATGTTTTTGAAATGGTAATTTGGCCTCCTGTTTAGGGTTTTTAGGTCCCTCCCCATTCTAATAGATACGAGTCTGATCTTGTATGTTTGGAAATAGCTGCCTGGTCATTTCCAAGATGGGTGCTGAGTGGACAGACTTTGGTTGCTGTTGACTTAATACAGCCTAGTGTAGCACTGACTTAACGTGTTGCAGGCTAGACTGAAAACAATGCCAAACTTTCGTTGGCGATGCAGAACATCACCATTTCACATGACATTTAAAATCTTGTGGGACCAAGGCGTCTTCAGTTTTTGAAGTCAGGCACTGCAGTTGCTCTCCATCTGCTGCACAAGCTGCAGCACGCCTTGGTGATGTCAGATCTCCGATGGAATCTCCGATGACAAACATGATGTGTGTGTTACATATGTTTTTATTCTAAAATCTATTCAGATCCATTGTCTCCTATCTCTCCTAAAGGAAATGCCATTTATTTGATTTCCTCCTTCTGGCAGCTCATTTTTTACATATGGCCACCATACAAAATAGTTTTTATTTCCAGCAAAAATAATGTAAAACAGTTTAGTTCAGAAGTTTGTTATTTTAAAAGAATTAATGCCCTTGTAGGTCATAAATTATTTTTTAGATTTCCTGTTATCTTCCTGAAGATATGGTTGCCTTTGTCATTTTGTATTTATTCTTAACTATATGGTTCTCAATAAAACAGAAAGAAATATAAAATAAACATCTCCTTGAAAGTGTGGCTCTAGGGTCTGCAACAAAAAAGGCCAGCAGCATGTGACCGGCCATTGTTGTGAGCTCAAGCTAGAGGAAACAGAATGTATCCTACTTGACGGCAGTGTTTTTATACCCCACCCCTGCAGTCATTGGCAGTTCGCATTGACCATCAAGTCAGCCACAGTCAGGCTAAGTCAAGAACGAACACAGCCCTTCTTATAAGGACTTTGGCAGTAGTCAGGAAACATTGGTAAAAACCATTTACCAAAACCGTTCACTCCTGAGTCCATTTAGTCCATAAATGGAAACTAAGCTACAAAAACAGCCCATTTTTAATTCTTTGTTTTTGTGATGTCAAACATTGTTTGTTCATATCTACCTATTCAGCTTGTAGCAGTTTAGAGCCACCTATCCACATTGAATTTTTAAGGAGCTTTTCAGTCTGGATTATTATTTTTTATTTATTTATTTAATTTGATTTTTTTAATGGCAGAGTCTTAATGGCACAGTAACAAAAACATTCTGTTTTATTCTAAGTCATAATGAGAAGTTGAAAAATGGTAATTCAAAAGTAAATTGCATAAAAGCCACAGAAATATCATTAGTGAGCTTCAGAGAAAAATAAAAGTATAAGAAAAAAACTACAATGCAAGGCCCTTTAATTCAGAACGCTGGCCTGTATAGTATCTGTGTGTTCAGTGTGACCCCTGTCTCCCCAAGTTTATCTTTCTTTTTATCTAGTCTGGTTGTTTATGTGAACAGTACAGATCTATGTAGGTTATGAAGGAAGGGCTTGTGTGGCCTGGAGCTTTGCTGATTAACTACTGCCTCTCGTTTTTTCCCTAACCCCTCTATATTGTAATTATACATCTTCATTATAGGCGCTTCATGGGAGGTCTCTTAGGCCAAAGAAAAATTTGAAGTCCTTTCTCTTGATGGCACTTAGCTCCACCTGTATAAATGCCTCTGCCATCAACAAGTCTTCTTACTCCTCCTTGCAGAATGAGAATTAATTGGAGGCCTACTGGAAAAATCTAATTTGCCTTTCGGCGAATCAGTTGGTTTATAGGGCAACTAGTTCAAAATAAACATTACCGCACACAGACGTCTCAGTGTTTTTAGTCTTATTATTTTAGACATTGTACCGATTAGAGCAGTGGGATCACATCACAGCTGGTCCTTCATAATTTAACTCAACACTCTGACCTCAGTGACCCCAGAACATTAGTGTGTGTGAAAGGAGGATTTATATGTTATTATTTCTCTGGATCTAAGTTTTAGTGGATGGCCTGCTTATCTCTGCAGGAATCTGCATGCCTCCACCATACAGGGGTTTAAAGTCATTTAATAGTTTTAACTATTTGTGCTTGATGTATTTGACCTCACACTGCATTGCTGTTGTGTCAAGATTAATGTTACGCTTTTCTGACTTTCTCTACAGGAAACTTGGTAACAGGGAAGTAAAAAGATATAGATCACAGTGCACTAAAGTTTATCAGCGTAGGAAATACTCTATTAAAGGCGTAGTTCAGCCAAATTAGGTAACGTAAGAGTCAGTGAAAGCAAGAAGTAGGGGTAAAAGTTACAGCAGGGAGAAAAAGCTAGTTTCTGTTCATTCTTAAAAAATTTAAGCATCTCTCAACATCCTCTTGTTTATCGTAAAATGCGAAGGTTTCCTCAAAATCTTAGTGCTTAGCCTGAATAAGTAAATACAGCAGGAATCCACATCACCATGAAGATAAATTTTCAGCAGCAGAATATTCTAAGACATTTATTTAAAAAAAAAATTCCAAAAATGCTAACACAGATATTTGTCTCCTACTCCCCTTTAACACGAATGTTTCCGCAGCATCATAATTCCTATAACATAGGTACTTTCTGTTCGTTCTTAGAAAATGTTAGCATCTCTAGGAATACTCTCCCTTAGCATAAATATGCAAATGTTTCTTCTACGTTTTAATACTCAGATGATGTAAGTTGGTACAGCTGAAAGCTACAACACTATGAAGACAAATCTTTAGCAGGTATTAAGGGGTGAAAGCTGGCAGTTAGCATAGCTACTTTTGTTTTTGTTCTCAGCAGTGTTATCTCTAAACAATCACTGAAATCTAGCAGGGCCTAAAAGTTGGGGGTTAATCCAGTTAGTGTTTCTTCATTGTTAGAAATGTTAGCATCTTGAGCAATACTCTCCTTTTTCGTAAAGAGGTCAACATTCTGTAAAAGTTAACAAATAACTATATACATTAAAACCTGAGGAGATGCCTTGGGGTAAAAAATAAAGGGGTCAGGTAAGAAGAAGGGGCGGGGCGGGAGGGAGTACTCACTCACATTCTATCTCTACAAACTCTGATCTTAGACTTTATATAATTAACCCATTTTAACCAGAATTTTGTCATCTTCAGGCTAATAGAAAAAGTAATTTTTTCCATTAGATATATTTAATTGACCAGGTTTATCCAGTCATCCAGTGTAGGGGAATCAGGAGACAGCCACTTCCTTGTTATAACTTTTTTACTTGCAGTTAATAGAATATTCCATAAATATTTATCCGATCTTGCCACATCAAAACCCAGTACCCCTAGAAAAAGTGTATCAAATTTACAGGGAAATTCTAAACTAAATATATTTTTCAGTACTTTGTGCAACTCTGTCCAAAAATGTCCTAATATTGAGCGTTCCCAAAATACATGCCAGTGACCGGCTTCCCGCTCCCCACACATCCTCCAACATCCCGGATTTTCCGCAGGTTTTTGCTTTGGTGTAATAAAAAATCGAGTAACACACTTCCACCCAAATTCTCTCCAAAGATGTGAATTATTACGTTTCCACTGAAGTTCATGTATCTTAATCCATATTTCACTTGAAAAGGTAATACTGCTCTCTTTTTTCCATTTTTGCTTTACATACTCTGTCAAACTTCCTTCCTTTACTGTTAAGCCTCTATACATTTTGGATATGATTCCTTTGTGAGCCTCAGACTGATGAGCTTTGATAAACAAATTTAGTATTTCATCATTAATACTTTGGAGTGTATCATCTTTAATTGTTTTATCAAAATAATGTCGTAATTGAAGATAGTGGTAAAAGTCCTGATTTTCAAGGTTATATGTTTCTTTTAGAGACTGAAAATCTCTGTCTGCCTCTTTCCATAATATTGCCGTACGCTGTTATACCCTTTGTCAGCCAAATTTTGAACCTACTATCCAACTTATTTGGTATGAACCCAGAATCATAGGTGCACCATCTAATTACTTTCAACATTTCACTTAAATTGTATTCTTATACTACTTTAGTCCAAATTTTTAATTGATTTTTTATCCAAAGATTCTCTATGATGTCTACGTTTTTAACTAAATCACTATTTCCTATTATTGCCTGGATAGGGGGGTTCTTTATCAATGACGATTCTATATCCATCCATCTTGCTTGGTAAGCAGGGTTGCATATGAGAATTAAGGGTCTTGTCTGAGCTGCAAAGTAGTACTTTTTGAAATTTGGTAAACCCATGCCTCCTCTGTCCTTTGGAAGCTGCAAAGTCTGAAATCTTATTCTTTGCTTCCGTCCCTGCCATATATACCTTGAAATGATTTTATCCCATTCTGAAAAAATGTTTGGAGGGATTTCGATATTACTTCAACATGTTAACAGTTTGGAAAAGTAAGTTGCTACAACAGGAAACTACAGCAACATAAATACAAATCTTCAGCAGCAGAATATTTTTAAAGACATTCATACAAAAATGCTATCACAGATAATGTAATCTTTTTTTAGCAATATTTATTTCTTTAAATAAATTCTTTCTACAAAGAAGCCATAGCAACATGAAGCCAAATCTTTAGCAACAGAATTGTCTTAAAGAAATAGTTCAGCCTAAATTAGTCTATGCATATAACATAACTATTGCTGAAAGCTAACACGGGCATGTCAAATTGGGGACCTTTCCGGGTCAAAGTGCTGCCGATTTTAGCATTTACCCTTATCTAACACTCTGAATTCAGTTCATGAAGACCTTGCTATTTAGCTGGTGAGCGAAATCAGGTGTGTTTAATGAAGCAGTGTGCTGAAGTATTCCGTTTTTGGACCACTAGGACTGGAGCTTGACATAATGAGCTAACAGGACCTGAAAGCTGGGGGTTTGTTTAGCTACGTTCTGTCCATTTTTAACAACGTTATCATCTTTAGCCATGGTCCCCTTTACCACAAAGTTAAAAATGTTTCTTCAGCATTATAATACCAAGTTAGTTGGTCCAAGAAGCCACAGCAATATTCCATGCTCACATAAGGAACAGGCTGTTTCCTCAACAACATAAAATAAGTGCCACATTATGTGGTGGAACAGGACGCCACAGCAACTGGAAGACAAATCTAAGAAGCTAGGTTTTATCTTTTGCTGGTGTTGTCCAGAGGAGGCTCTTTTTTAAATCGTCAGCAGCAAAAAGAGACCGGTCAGCCAAACATGTTAATGCAAATAGTGGAACAGTCAGCGAAAGCTAGTAGGGTGCAAACTTAGCATAGCTGCTTTCTGTTATAGCATAAAGTTTGAGGGTGTTGCCTCAACATTAGAATTCTTGTGTTACTACAGCAGGAAACCACAGCAACCCAAACACAATTCTACTTTGTGTTGTGTTCTTGTTTTGGCCATTGGGCTTTATGAGATAAAATACCATTTCACAGCGAAACAAAGAGAAAGGGTGCTCATATTTATGGGTTGCATAGAGTGGGTGATGAGTGGGTGGTGTACAACACTGGACATCAAGCTGGAATATAAAATATTTGGAAAGGTCTTCAGACAAATGTGGTATCAGTATACTTCTATGTCAGAAGTGTATTGTATCATGGTACCAAAGGATGAATTCCGCTCATCAAATTGTGTTTTCTTGATTTTCTAAGTAAAAATAATACACATACATGGAACTCAAATATGGCATTTTTCTGCAGATCTTAATACACAATTTCTACTTATTTGCTTAATGTCTTAAAAAAACATGAAATGTAAAGTATAAAAATATATAAAAAGTTTTGTTATTGTGTATTAATTGCTAATTAAATGTTTACTTATTTTCACTTGGCAAATTGGCAAAAATGATACATGTAATTTGACCAGTGGTGTCCAAACTATTGCATACAATCATGTCATTAAAAATGTACATAGTTACACTCCCTCTGTTTTTCTCTTTTTGTCTCTTTCTCTCAGGCCCCTGGAGCTGCAGTATAAGTATGGCAATCTGAGTAAAGGAGAATGTAAGCCCGGCTACTCGGAAGCCAAGATGACCTCAATCTATCCAAAGCAAGTTTGTGTGTTTTTTCCTTTTTACTCTCATTGTACAGCCTGATTACTTGGAGGTTGCTCTGCTTGCTCTGTTAATACGTCAACACACGTGCATGCATGCTGCTGTTCTGCAGTGTGACTCAGTAGCTCATGGAGTCAGACTGAAGTGAATTAGAGCACTGTAGTATACTGTAGGCCTTTGTGTTAGCATCGCTCTGTCTGCCCTGAGGGCTTCTTACTAAGCTGACCTCCGATCCATAGCTAATAATGCTACACACACGCACTCAGACATATAGTGACTCGCACGCTGTAATTTACCCTGTTAGCGATGGTATCGTGAGTTACTGAAGCATTATTGTTCCAAATTTATCAATTTACTAAAACTCTACTGGACAGATCTTAAGTCATAGACAAAAATCGCAGTTTAATCATAGTCACAGTATTGGTCAGAAAAATCGCGGGTAAACACAGTTGTATGCAAAAGTTTGGACGTTCCTGGTCAAAAGATACGTTTTGTTGAAGTGAAAAGTTAACACATTCTCTGCGGAGAACATAGTTCTGCACATTTTAATGCACAATTACTGTTTATTTGCTGAATATAGCATTTAATTTTTCTTTTCCAAAATGATGGTCAGTAAATAAATATTAAAATCTAATATTAAATATAAATATTGCACTTAAATTTGCAATATTTCAGTTTGTTCTTTGTATAGGATGCGTTGTTATTTTCAGAATATATAATTTCACTGGGTATTCAAACTTTTGCATAAGACTGTGGTTTCCTCTACAGCCTGAATATTTGGTGTCCGAAGTATGCTTTGCTCTGGGGCTGTGAGACTAATGTAGCAAACAAGTAATGAAAGCTTACACCAGTTAGCGCTGTGCTAACTGCATACGTATCACACACTTGCATCAAACCATATTGAGTTTTTAAATAATCTCAAATAGACTTGCTTATGTGGTTTCTGACATTGTCTGACATACTGTTATCTACACTGGACAAAAGAACAGGTAAAACATAGGCTTCACGATGACAGATAGTACTGTTTTAGCTGTGCTGTGTACTGTTGCAGACATTAGACACCATGTCTTGTGTTTTGTACTGTATTTAGAGTAAATGTTTGAGTCGAAGTATTCCTGTAACAAGTACTAAAATATTAGCTATGTCAGTGATGCAACAAAATGAACATTCTTGGCCGGAACTTCAGTTGTGGACACACTGGGCTGAAAAATGGAAAAGTCAAAAAAGCTGACAGTTTATAAACAGTAAACTTACTACAGTCTGTTGTGTGATGTATTCTGTTAACATGGGTGCACTCAAACAGTTTGAGTAGCAGCAGATCAACAGTGAAAAAGGCGGACAGGAACCATTTTACATTAAAATCATTTGTAAAGACTTAGGTTTTGACACTTCGTTGTAGACCTGTTTAATATTTTTTTTTTGTTTTTTTCTGTCAAAAATTTCTGTCTTCATTTCAAATAAAAACCAAAAGTGGCATTTTTGACCATTTTTGATGGCCAGATTTTTGGTGCATTGCTAAGCTATATAATCAGGATCATAACATGTTTGTGTATATCACCAAGCTCTTGTAACCTAAAATGGTGCTCTGTTTAATGGCCTGTGTGTAAGATTTTGTTTTTAATCCCCTTCCCAAAAAAAAGAAAAAAAAGAAAAACAGCATTTCCTCATGCGAACCCCCTTTAGCACCAGCTTCCAGCCGGAGAAGCAGAGTGGCGTAAAAAAAGAAATATCCTTTCTGCTACTGAATAATTCAGCATTGGAGAAGACTCCGTACCGTGAATACACTGCACCACTCTGAGTATGTTTACTTAAGCCGTGTTATAAAGAAATCTTACCACCCAAGGGATGCAAACTCGCTCTTAGCTGCCATGCTGGGGGGGCTTTTTTTGGCCCGCGGTGCGCTGCTGAGATCCCAGTGCGTGAGAGAGCTGCAGACACCGTCCACATGATTGGTTTCATTAAGGCCGGGAGACACGCGAGAACAGTGCAGTGACCACTCTCCCTAACAGAACTACCACAGTAGTTTTTAAAGGAATAGTTTGTGAAAATTTGCTTCTTACCACAAAAATATTCGATCAGCCAAGACGTTTTGTGTCTGAAGTTTGCCTCTTTAGCTTTTTATTGGAGCTATGAGGCTAATGTAGCTGACAAATAATGAAAACTAATAGCCATCAGTTAGCATTGTGTAAACTGCATGCCTTAATCATCATGCACTTGCCTCATATTGCAGGGAGTTGTTAAGTAGTAGTAATAGTATTCAGCAACAAGAGCATTTGTGAGGTTACGTACTGATGTTGTAGTTGTAGTTCTGGATCACAAACTCCACTCCAATTCATCCCAAAGATATTGAGTGGAGCTTGACTCCAGAGAGTGCAGTTTCACTGCTCCACAGCCCAATGCTGGGGGGCTTTGTACCTCTCTAGCTGACACTTGGCATTGAGCGTGGTGACCTTAGGCTCATGTGCGTCTGCTGCTCCGTGGCATCTCATTCCATTGGCACTGTTTTTCTATGGCTGTGTGTGCACAATTGAACTCCTGTGTCAGTAATGGGTGCATGTTTAAGTAATTTATTTTACTAGTTAGAAAAGGTGTCTAGATACTTTTGGACCTGTAGTGTATATAGCATAGCTAGAAACAGTAGTAGCAGCTATCTTGATTCCTGAATTTTGTCTATTCCTTGGTAACAGGATAGTATATAGTGTCTGAAACCACATAAGAAATTCTATGTAAGATAACTATCTGGCATAGTTTAAGGCAAGCGTGTGGTGTTCTAGGTACATGCGCAATGGTAATTGCTAGGGATGCATGATTATACCGGAATCATATCGGTAAGTGCTTTTTTAAAAATCATCAGCATCAGGCTGATGCTTTTACTTGGCCAGTATTGTGTACAGTGATATTTGGTGATGCGTTTATTGTATGCTGGAAGAGCACAGTTAACGTTTAGGCAACACTGGCTCCGCTGCAGCAGCACAGCTAAAAGGTCTCCTGTAGCACCACACACTCAAGCAAAACCTGCAGCTGCTCAGCCTGTTGATCATTTCCTTCAGAAATAAACAAATTCAAACATTCCAAAAGCTACAACAATTACAGCAAAGATGATGGAATTTATCACTCTTGATCTTCACTTATTCTCTGTTGTGGAGGACGTTGGGTTTTGATGGCTGTTCGAACATCTTAAGCCATGTTACACCAAACCCGTTGTTGTTGTTATTTTTTGGACCTAGCCCTACTGGAGCTACACAGCATGGTAGGGACTCATATTTACGGGCTCATTGACGGTAGTGTGATGTCCAATAGCCTTACCACAGACATTGCAGACTGGCTGCCTTTCTCTGTGTAAATTTCAAGCCTCATGTGATCTACTGTGTCTTTTCGTGGTCTCAATATGGCTTTGATTTAATGTAGTAAGGACAAAATGCTGCAGGAGTTGAGTCATGGAGCGCTGGTGTGTGCACCTCCATGAAGACAATGGTTTCAAGTTTTTGGATGCTGTGTGACGCGGTGTGTCCAGTGTGCAGTGGCCTTTACAGAAGACAGTTTTGCATGCCCAAGATGTAAAGAAATGTACATGTAAAATATTGGACATCAGCATCGACTTTGGCAGATATGTACGTTAGATATCGGATATTGGCATCGACCCAAAATTCCCATAGCATCCCTACTAATAGCTATGATTGCTTGTTAGCTACATTAGCCCAGCAGTTTATGTTACCTGCATTGTTCAGCAGTTTTCTTTTAAACATTTACAAGCTAGAAAGTCAGATTTCCTTGCACATCTGGCACATACTAGTTTATTGTCTGTGGTTGGTTTTTTGTGGTTGTCCCTCTCCCATCAAAGTTGGCAGTTCTACCCATGACAACCACTAACCAACTATACAGCCTTAAGAAGACTTGAGAAGTTATTTGTAAAATAGTAACTTGTATTTTTCTGCCTATTTTCTATCCTCATGTCAGGAGTAGCCAACATTTTTCGCTCCTTATTCTACCATTATATGTAGGCTAAATGGTCTGTTTTCTTGTGCCAGTCGCAACTGACACATAATCATATCCAGGAGCAAACAAGCTACAACTAGCTAGCATTTAACTCAGCATTTACAGATAAAAGGTGTGCTACAGGTTTGTGGTTGAACAGTGATTTTATTTTTAAAAATATTATAAACTCAAAGGATAGTGAGAGCAGGTGAGCAGCAGGGTATGTCAATCCAGACAGTTTGTCACTTTAGCTAGAAGCAAGTTATATCATTAGCTGTTGAACTAGGGAAAAATCAAGTGAACTGTCTGGAAGTACATAGTGTCAACCCACATGATTTACCCATTTAAATTATGGTTTTAGGAATTTTTGGAGGTATACGGCTGTATAAGGATAAAATACAAAAATCTAGTCTAGTGTAGGTTTCCTAGAAGCTCACACTCAGGTTGATTTTCTCTTTCTTATTGTCCTGAAAATGTTTTTCTTTTCACAGCAACAATTTTGTATAGTGCAGATTTTTACTGTAATATCACTGTTCTTACATAAAAAAAAATACACTTGTGGATACTGTTGGCTTCATTCAATTCTGTACCTTACACCCACATACTAAAAAGGCAATCTCTGCACCTGGGTTCTGCTTTACGTTGAGAGATAAAATGTACCAAGCTCTCTGACGACAGGCAGAACTCTGGCTTATGAGGTGACGTTTTGAATAGAGGGCTTTGCTCTATGGTTTAGGCTGGCCTGTGCTCTTGTAGATGTGAATGAAGACTGTAGGAGAGTGTAATTTGTCTTTATTATGGGTTGTTTTTCACAAAACAAGGGGTAGTTGAGGCAGAGAGGAAATGGCTGATTAACTGTTTTTCAGGGTTTCTCCTGATTGGTCTTGGAACTAATCTGATATTACCTGATTTAGTGTTAGAAAGAGATATTTTAGAAAAGAGGGTTTCTGTGCTTCAGATATGTCCTAAGTGGAGATATTATGAAGGATCTACATGTAAATCCATCAGTCAGATACCCAGC